TTAAGACATTAGTGAAACAAAAAATCGTGCTGTGGTCTCTTAATTTTTTCCAGAGCTCTATATAATAGGACAAATCTTTATTCTTTGATCACACCCATTTTTAATCTGGTTATCCCTGTCCTTGTTCGGTGGCTGTTTTTCACCCAGTGACCAGACAGTGGCAATTCTGCTTGTTACCCAGTGCTTCTGCAGGCTCTGTTGCCGGGGCCGTGAGCAGACAGCGCTTCCCCCTGTGCATATCAGGTGCCTCCACAGCGGATCACATTTAGCAGCAGATTAGCGGAGGGCAGCTATGCGGCGCTTCCAGCAGGCACAGGGGCGTGCGGCTGTTTTAGGCTGGCTGCAGCTATCCCCAGGGGCCCCAGCCGTTTCACCAGCGGGGGCATTCAGTGGGACCCTCGCACACATTCCAGATCGTTGGGGAAGGGGGGGGGTGTGACTCTTAGACCACTGATCTGTTCTGCGTCTGTGCAGCCTTGCTTCACACCCCGGGGACTCCAAACCGGGCCAGAATGGGTGGGAACACAGCACATGCACAGTGGAATCGTCCTACTTTCCCAAGGCAAGAGATATTTATTGTAAAGCTGCATATAATAACACTTACAGAGCTTCAGCTTAAACTTGCGCCGTATAACAGAAACCCACCTCTGGTGGAATGTTCCGGGACGCTCCTGATCATGGATACCAACTACCCGACACCTGGAGATCTATTCACAGAAAATTAAAAACAAATGAACACAAAGGATTGTCTGCCCACGCCCCCATCTCAACAACTTTTACTGTTGCCACAATGCCCCCCCCCCCACTTGCACGGTTCATCGCTTTGAACCACCTCCCTGAAATCAATATGCCTAAGGTGAGATGTCAGCAATAATGACGGGCAGCGATCGATACACAATTTTATCAGGGCACAGTAGGGCTACAACCTTAATGGTTTGGTCCAAATAAAAACAATTCCAAATTTTGGGCCTCTGATTAAATTTCAGCTGACACTATTAGATTCAAATCTTTGTTATTAAAAAAAAAGCAAAGGTTGCAGGATGTGTTTTCTGCGCTGCCTCAGGTGTGCTGGGTCCTTTGCTGGGAGGTAGATCTGCGTTATGAACTGCCAGGACATGGTTCCGCTGAGGCTGTCTGAATGAATTACAGCCTATTGGCCATGGGGATTACATCAGCCGCAGCCGAATAAGCATGCGCGGAGGAAGACCTCGTCCCCTAGAAGATACCGCATAGAACACAGAGCAGTGTGTCTGCATGACGCCAAGTAGCCCTTTGTCACCCACTTCACAGACTGCAGACGTGCTGGAAGCAACCAAATACTCCCAGTGCATGTGATGCTCGTATGCAACCCTAGGTGCTACAAATACGGCAAAGTCACCATAAAACGAGAGGGAAGGACTGACCTGGCAGGAATGCTAACACTGAAAGGCTAAGATAAGCAAAGCACCATGCGAAGGATCAGCAGAGGTTAACATGCCCCCCAGCACAGTGACATTTTACAACATTTTCAGCTCATGTGTTTCGCTAGCAGTTCAAGCAACAGCCTTTGGTTACGTGTGTTCCGGAGGTCTGCAGGTGATTGGTTATGCGTGTTCCGGAGGTCTGCAGGTGATTGGTTATGTGTGTTCCGGAGGTCTGCAGGTGATTGGTTATGTGTGTTCCGGTGGTCTGCAGGTGAACTGCTTTGTTACGTCCGTAAGTTTGCTACTGCCAGCAAATCGTCCTTGCGGCACCTATCGAACTGCTCGAGCGTGGGGTGGAGGGTGAAAGCTACGAGATCGAACTGGGCCATTCTCACTAACACAACCACAACACCGCCCCCCCACAAAAAAATCCGCTAGACAAACACCGGAAGGAAGAAAAGAAAGGACAAGCCCCCAAGTTAGGGATGTGATTAGATTAACCTGTGTTAAATTAACCTGTGACCTAAACATTCACATAAATACATCCGCTTTCTAGTTTACATGTAATCACCTATGTTTTCCATGAGTAGTGCATGCCACCTGAAAAAATGCTCGATATTTAATCATCTTCGTAACATTAACAAACTCAGGAAGTGTTCTAATTTTGTGAGTGGTTGTTAAACTTCTTGTTTAAACGTTACTGTCCCTAGGCTTTTACAGCAAATATATATCATGCTTTTCTGGATGCTGTTTCTGATCATCTGACCCACGCAATCACTTATGGGATAATTTATTTGTGTTCCCTCTCTTTCTCTCTGTTTATCCACTTTGAATAACAGGAAATGTTTTGGCAGACAGGAAACTCCAGCCAATGCCAGCAATAGAATTAAAAACCTGAATTCTAAGGAGGCCAATAGAGGGGGAAGGAATACCTCAATTTGATGAATTGCAGCTTGGAAGAGGCTGCTGGCCATTGTAAGACACACAATGGCAAGTAAGGTCAACGGGGACCAATGAGGAGATGGATGCCAAATGCTGCACCAATCAGAGTGCATGGATTCCAGGTCATGACCTTTCATGTTTTCCTAGCTTCCTTCCTTTCCCACTGCACAAGAATTCCATGCACATATGTATCTATGATTAAAATAGTTATAAAGTTATACAAATGTTGTATTCAATGACATTTACCACCATGTTTCTGAAATTGGAAAATTTTTAAAGAAAGGTTTTATGAATTTGGATAGATTCTATGCTACGTTGAATTATTGATTACTAAGCCATGCTTCTGAGTAAATTGGGCTACATCATTTTTTTGTACCCTTGAATGTGAGTATTCTCATTTAAGTAAAATGGAAAGATCAGAGATCTAAAATACTGGGTAGGACATCAAATACTCACCTACAAATCCCAGTGCAGCAGTGTGTCTTGGTCTGATATCACAGGTAGCAAGTACAAAGCTACCTAAGCTAAAGCTTCATATTTTCCTCTGAGTTCATTCTACAAAACACATGCTAAAGAGGAGGAAGAAGAACTTCCATGAAGTTCGTGTCTGTAGAACAAGGTTTCCCAGTTCCGGTCCTGGGGGACCAGAATCCAACACAGATTGCAGATTTCCCTACTCTAACACATCAGCGAATTACTAGGTTTAGTAGGTGTATCTGAGCAGGGAAATTTGTTCTCCAGGACCAGAATTGGCAAACCCTGCAGTAGATAATCGTTTCTGGATACTCAGTCTCCAATAATACGTCTTACAAGGAGATTAGAGGCATTTAATCAAACACTGTGGGCCTTTGATCCTGTCATTCAACATGTTGCTGACTTTGAAGGAGAAAGTACCGTTAGGGACACATGGACACAGTCAAGAAGGACTTAAATTCAGCTACGGTCTTTTCAACTGAATGTCACACATGCACACTTTCATCCCTGTCACCTCATGTGACATTCATGTGACAGCAGTCTGTATGTGTAGCTCTCCAGGAATTCTTTCTGAGAAGGAATGTTAAGCAGAGATTGATAAACTCTTCTAGGAATGCTTTCCTCATATGGAAAATTCTGCTAAAGTAAACACTGCCATTTCCAAGCAGCAAATAGTCGCCCCCCATGATTATTCTGTTTTTGCAGTAATGACCAGGCTCCCCAGCCATTGAAGAAAGGAGCACAGGGGCATTTCTCTGGATCCTTTCCCAGTTCTGTGAAAACCCTCCAAATTCCCCTGTTGTTCTATCACCTAGAGTCCATCTTAAGACAAAGAGCGTAACGTCACATGCCATAGTTAGTTTACATGGGGTGATACGGGAATCTTAACAGCGAAGTTATCTTTAGCCGTTTTCAGCACTGAAGAAATACCTAGTTCTGTGACTTTGTGGCAGATAAATAAACATCTATTTCTTGACAAAAGGTCAAATGAAAAACTACTTAAAAGTGACATGTATCTGTGTGGCATCAATCTGTTTCGTGATGCTACCCTTTAAACTATAGCAACAACACCAGCTTTGAAAGACATTAAATTTCACAATTATGACCTGTTCGTCCTGATCTTCTTTTTCCAGGCCACATTGTCCATGGTGTTCACGTTGCTCTAGAAACCTTACATATTAGATTACTGACTGAATGCACTGCAGGAGATGCTCTCAGTTTCTGGCCATGCTGTCAAGAACATTATCTAAGGGATAACATGCCATTTCTCATACATTACCTGCTCTCAGGAGAGGCTCCTCCCTCCCGGCTAAAAGAATCGATCTCGGAGGACCTCATGCATCACACAGAGAGGCTCAGGGATGAACACACACGGCACACAGAGCGAGAGCAGCTCAGGGATGAACACGCACGGCACACAGAGCGGCTCAGGGATGAACACGCACGGCACACAGAGAGGCTCAGGGATGAACACGCACGGCACACAGAAAGGCTCAGGGATGAACACGCACAGCACAGAGTGAACTTTGCCTCATTTAGGAGCTAGTGAACACCAATTAAGTCACCACACAAGACCTCTTCACATTTTATGACACAGAACTACAACATGTGTAATGTCATATTTCCAAAGCTCGCCAGTTAGGTAACAAAGAACAAACATAATATTGTTCAGTGAACTGGGAAGGAAGCTCAGAAATTACACATTGGAAGTGTTCAGGCTTTGCTCGGAGCGTTCAGGCTTTGCTCGGAGTCTGCGTACTGAGGAACACGGCATGGTCTGCTGGGACTTCTGCCATCATTCACTGCTGTGTGGGTCTTTGTGTACAGCCACTGTATTCCCCAAAGAGAAGCCCACCTCCTTACTGACACCCTTGAGGTTGACCTTGACATTAATACTGGAGGAGAACCAGATGACTGGACTGATCCTGCTGCAGACACACGTTGGCCTCTGGTGCTGCTTCCTCCACAGGATCGGTGCCTTCTCATTAGGGAACGGCCATATGTGACTTCCCACATAGTAGCTGTCAATAAAACTGATGTGGAGAAGCAAAACCACTGTAGAAACTGTTGCACACCACTGAATTCTTAAAATGTACTAATTTCTTTAATCTGATAATTGCACAAAATATAGCTTGATGCAGTACAGCTAAAATACTCACAGAATAACATGCAAAGCCTTGATTTCCATCAGAAATGCCTTTAATACAAGTATTAACAAAATGTAGGCAACATTACAAATTCACCATACAAAAAAAACAAACAAAATTCAGCTGTACATGCAAACAGCTGAAATACCATAATCAACATTCAGACACAACATTTCAACACAAAGACAAAGACATAAGCTGTGCTACACATCGGATGCATTGCATAGATTAAAAAAATATATAGATTTACCTTATGCTGTTAGTGACATAATGTCATACATACTAGACAGCAGACTCTGTGACAGAAAACTGGTACGTTAACTGGAAACTATTCACAGAAGAGTGGCAGCAAAGGTGTCAAGTAAGGAGGTGTGGACACTGTAAGGAGGTGTGGACACTGTAAGGAGGTGTGGACACTGTAAGGAGGTGTGGACACTGAGTGCCTGAATAGTTTTCCTAAAAGTGCACTATGTGGGAAAATGCGTCTGCAGCTCAGGTGCAGCCCTCAGCCGGCACAGCCGACACAGCCGGCACACCTTCTCCCTCCGTGCCTCACTATGCTCCATTGCCACATGTGGCGTGAGCAGTTTCCACCTGCTGTCCACAATGGTGACCCAAAGACCTGAAACCATCATGGAGGAGGCCTGAGAGCGGACCTAAGGAAGTGATGTGCACTATTTATTCATTTAAATCTGCTGATCTGTGGCAACGCTGGTGAGAACAAACAGCAAAAGAGCATCCAACTAACATTGTAACTGTAACCTGACACATCAGCTCTAAACACAATAAGCTAATGAGCCTTGCAGATGCTGGAAAGGCAGATAACAACATGCTTCCTCGATCGAGAACCATTTCTGCAACGTAACTATTATGCAACTGTACTAAACAAATGTTTCAGTAGCTGATTATCGGTAATGGGTCCCACATATTAGTGATGAAACAGCTTTTATATGTTGCACAGATCAGCCTTAGCATTAAAGACAACAACAGTTAGCAGCAGTCATGCTGAAAAATTCTCTTTAGGTGAAAACAAATGACCATTACAACGAGGAAAGATGCTGATATGCTTAACCAGTCTGACTGTAAAGCAAAATCAAATGCAGCAAAATAAATGAGAATAATTCATGATTTAAAGCCTTTGGTTCATGGCAAAATGCAATCAGTTCCTGTAGCAATTAAATTATTTTTTCTACATCTCACAGGTGAAACTTTTCCTGACTTTGTACAAAGGCTGAATAAGTGGGAAATAGTGGAAAAGTAGGGAGACGTAAACCTAGAAAAGGACGGTCTGCATTCAACCACTCAAGAAAGATGTAACTTTAAGGCCATGATGACAGACAATCTTATTAATGTTAACTGCAATAACAAGAAATCGAGTAAAAATGTTAGCAGCTGGCCTTGTTTACAAGACAATGTCCACATTCAGAACAAATAAGGACAACTTACACTAACTTTATATTATTAGAACTACTGTTTATACTTTTCGTATTCAAAGCCAAAATATTCCCAGCATCTAAAACAATTACAAGCCAAACTGAGCAAAAAAAAATATATATTATGAGAAGCTTCAAAAAAATATTTACCACCCAAGAGAAACTTCAGCATACTTCTTGAATATATGTACAATCACAAGATTACTGCCCTATCTGAAGCTGCTATTTAAGAGTTGGCGGAACTTACATCTTAGTTAAAAGTTCAGAAACCCACCTAGAAACGACTTCTCTGTATTTTAACAGTATCCAATACTCTCTTCCCAAAGAGTTTCACTTCTAGCGACACCTTCAGAATTACCAGTAGTACACATCATTCTTATGCTAATTGTGCCCATCTAGACAGAGAGAAAGGCTTTTAGAGAACTGGGTCATTTCCTGAGTAGGACTTGCAATGTCTATCGGAGAGATATAAGTACAGTGATACACCATTGCTAATGCAAAAATAGCAAGCACTTGTCATAAATATACATATTTTCAGCTGTGGAGACAGTTTAAGGGGCCCTATATCCTTTGTACAATTAAAATATATGTAACTGCACAAAATAGGAAGTATTTACAATTATTTAATATCTAATATTAGGGCTAGAGGGAGACGGTGTCAGAAGGACAACAAAGGATGAATCCACAATATATATATATTTTTTATAATTAAAATATTTTTGTTCTGGAATAGCAGCTAAAGTCTCAGTTATGGCTAGTATATACTGATTTTGTTGGATCTTGTAAAAATATTTACACTCATTAAACATATAACAAACCTAAATAAATATATCATCTTGTTTTACTGGAACTATATTAAGTTCATACTATAAATGCCTTTGATTTGTATGAGGTAAAAATATTCCAAGAAATAAAAAAGTTATAATCAGACTCCACACAGAAGCCCATTTCCCTTCTAATTCGATATAATACAGGCTAACGACGCTACTTTTAATACACCCTTCTAGAGAACACAGTTAAAGCTAAAATATTTCATTGCACGTTAAACACACCATTAAACCGACATTCAATAAGGAATACCAAGTTGCTACCTGAACTGGTCCTTCATGGTTCCACACCACAGTTAATTATAAGCATAATTGCTGATAAATTTATTACTATATATTACTAATGACAATTCCCGACACTTTAGGCATATTTGAGGACATTTACTAAAAATCAAATTCTGTAATTCCGTTTTGGTCAACTTCTTATTTAGATATTCAATCTAAACATTACATTGAAGCGAAGAATTTGCATTACACTTTGCCATAAAACAGATCATGTAACGGTTGTACAGTGGACAGTTCTGTAGAGGTAAATTACTTTCACAGTGTTTTGCAGCCATTTTAAATTGACGGTGTCAGCTCACAAGGTCACAGTTTGAGAGCGAAAAAAAAACATCACTTCTCTCGAACCTACACGATAAAACAAGAGCGACACATCCATAATTAGGAAATCTGCGGATTCAGTTAAAAATAACCCATCTGCAAATAAAAACAGGTAAAAAAATTGTGTTTAAAGTAAAATACGTAAATTCAAGTTCTTTTACACTGCTAAATTGTGTTATTTTGGGTTAAAGTCGGTTTCCCGGTAAGGCGAGAGTAAAGTAAATTCCTGTCCATTGGCCATAATCAAATGAATATGGAACTGCCTATTTCAGGGGTACGGATAGACAGACAACCAACGACCAAATAACCACGATAAGAAAATGCAGACACAATTTAACGTTACATGGACCTGACTCGAAAGGACAGTCGTTAAGTGGATGGAGATTTAAAAAAAAAATGAAAAAGGTCGTCTTATGTACCATGGGGACGTCTCATCCTAAATATGCTACGTACTGTAATGCCTTGCTCTTGGCGGAAAGCATTTGATCGATGCAAAAGCTTGAACCATTAAACCATTGGGCAACATGCGTGGAAGTAGACTTCCTCTGTCCATCACCGGGGTTTCTGAGATATAGAGGAACATAAAACAAAGCATAAATAAAACACGGACATCCCGACTTTGGGTCTCTAACAGGTGAATTGCTTTTTCCGGCTCACAGCCGGACCATCAACTGTATTATTAAAATATGCCTTGTTAATGCACTCGTTATGCCCCTTACGACGAACGCTATATAAAATGAATCCAGCCGTTCTCCCATTCTCTGGGCGGAGAAATTTTAAACCTGTGCCGACGCACTTTATAATTATTGCCCTTATTGTTGTCCCAGAACTCATTGCCACCAACGGTGTACTTGATGGCAAACTGAAGGGTGCCTCCGGTCTCCAAAAACGCGGGCGTGATTATTTTGAAGGAAAACTTATCCGTCGCCCCATCGCTGGACCGGGGAACGTAGGACGCCTGCACGTCGAAAAACGTTAACCAGTTATTGAGGGTATATCGCAGCAGGACGCTCTTCTCGAAAGCCAGGTTCAAAACGCGCACTACGCCTGACATGCTGAACTCGTCAGTCTCCACAGATTCCAGCAACACTTTGACTTCTTGCACTTTCTCCATGAATCCCGGTAACTGACCGGGGTTGACAAACTGGGTTTCCATGCAAGCCGGCTGGTTGGTTATTTTGGGGAAGTTGTTTAAGTGCATGGCATTTCCCCGTTTGAATTTGTCGAGGATCCTCTGCGGAACCTCCGGCATATCTGCATCGCAAAAATGCTTCACTGAAGTCAGTTCCAGACCCAGGGAATCCGCGAATCGCACCTTTTTCTGGCTGGTCGGGCTGCGACTCCGCGCAATCTCCAGCCGGGCTCTCTCCACCGGGGTCGGCAGCGATTTGCATCTTCTTCGCAGCGTCGGACTTTGCGGAGGTTTCAGGAAACATTCCCTGCCTCTCGGTCTCTCGTCGACGACCTGATCTTCGGGGGTTTCACTGGCAGGCTCGCTGTCTTCTTCCCCGTCCTCTTTCCTGTGGCTTGCCGCTGCCAGGCTTCCGAATAAACCAGCCATACAGCTGTAATTCCTGGGGATGCAACTGTTAGGAGGCAACATTACAACAACTGAGTGCGCTGCTAGGTTTTCCATATAACAGTACAAGAGCCTAGAAGGAGCGTAGTCGTGAGAGCAGCCGTCAGGTGCCTGAATTTGCACACCGGAATGGTGGCTGCTGTCGTCGTGCCTGTGACACTGCGGATTTCTGAACCAATCTTCTTAGAGCTAAAGCAAGTGCACATGACATCACGAGCGATGGAGAGGATACTCCTCTTACATCATACAGTATATAGTATTCACGGGTGCAGTTTCTTAGACGTGTGGACATCAATGTATGTGATTCCCTGATGACAGGACCTCAGCAGGCGCGTGGATGCTCGGGGTCCGTGCATTTTGTTGTAAAAGGAGTTTGCAGGACTGCAGCGCACAATGCGGCACATGGGTTTAGATACAGGAAGTAGGCGACGTGCTGGATTGCTCGTTCCTATCTTGGCCAACTGCCGAACTAAAGCCGTCATTACTTTTACAGAAAATGAATCTTTAATCTTTAATGTGGAGTTACTTAACATTAAAGAAACTTTATTTCCTGACAAGGTATTACTCCACTGGAGTATTGCTTTTATTCAGTATATCATTAGTTCGTAGAATAACAACTATACGGATATATTGTCCGCTTTCTATTTTTCATAAAAATTCACAAGAATTCCTTTTAAAGTTTTGACCAACGCCAGACTAGACTTTTATCATAGCCTATACTTTATGAAATTCGACGTGCTGCATTCACATTCGTCATATCGCAGATCATCAAAATGCATTTCTCAAGTAAACAAAAAAGTAAGAAGCAACAATATTTCCACAGTAACAGTAAAAACAAGATAATAAAAAAATATATAATTTGCGTCTCAGGAAAAATACACAGAAAATGTAAGCAATTTAACCCACAATTCTGCAGACATCTTGAATATACATCTATCTGAATATAAATTACCGATTACTAAGTGTAATTTTCTTTGCTGAGACATTATGATCATTATCCTGCGTATTTTTACGACTGTATGTGTGCGTGCGTGTGTGTATATTAAAGAATACGCCCACTTTTTACACAATTTAATTAATTTCCAATGCACTTAGGTTTAGCTTGGATTGACTCCTTCTGTTAAATTTCTTCTGTGTGCATCAATAAGAGACTAATTGAAATGGTCACTGGTAATATTTATGCTGTTTATAAGGTGGGGGTGGCCAGTCTTATCCAGTCACTGCAACTCCCTAATTAGATTACTAATTAGAGGACTGATTGGCAGAAGAGTCCTCATCACCTGGGTTTGAACAGCTGACCGAAAGATTACCCCAAAAACCCGCATACACACTGACCCTTTGCAGATAAGATTGGCCACCCCTGTTTTAAGCTGAGATTTTAACCTTTAAGAAACATTTTGTGCTGTTTACAGGTTACAGGCTGGCAGAGGTATCCGCCACTCTCCTGCTTCTCTCATGCTCAGAAGGGAAAAAACCACACGAGTGGAGAGACAGATTACCACTGTCTTCTGTGTGCCGACATCAAACCAACAAAACTCCCAGAATCTAAGGAAAACTGCCCAAGAAACCCAATTTTATCATATGGCCATCAAACAAACAAAGAGACTACATCCCCAGAATGGTCTTCGAGGTCTGCTGTTCACCCAGGAGGCAGAGGGGAATACAGAAGCCATGGGATTGTCCATCTGGGTAGGAAAACCCCTGAAGACAGGCAAAGGCACGTCCAGGGTCCTGTGCTGGCGACAAACTGGCGCATTACCAGTATTATCAATATCTTACCACCAGTCATGCCACCAGGGTTGGCATCTGGAAATTGGACGATTCCCCCCATCCTGAAGAAAACACAGAATGCCACTGGTGGTGTCACGAGAGAGGATAGGTCACACTGCACAAACGTAGCGAGGAAGAAGGCCACTGGTAAGCGAAGAGGGAATCTGGTTCCCAGTGCTCCCACAGAAGATGCAGGTGCGGTCACCAGCCGCGGTTCCCTTTCAAAGGACTTACCAGCCTCCTTCAGCAGCCGCATACCCAAGACGGGGGATGCCCCATTCGGCCCCTATATGGCTGCATTGCCACCCATTTCCTGGCCTTTTGAGAAACAACAAAAAACAGAATTACCTCAGCAGTGTAGTACACAGGAGGACAGAGATCCAGACGATTTACAGTGTGTTCCTGTGAAAGCAGTGAGTGAAACAGCCAAAGACATTGCTGTTGTCCCTGTTGTCCAGAGCCAAAACCATCTCTGTGACAACTCAGCATCTCCAGAACTATTCTCACCTCTTTGTAATTAAGTAATATGCTATTGTTTTCTTATTAAAATGTCTTTTCCATGTTATTCAAGTTGAATGATATATTCACTTACTGACTGAGTGGTTTAATTTAATTTGAACCAGACATAATATTCAGGCACCTTGGGTGAAGATGCCAGGTGTCTTGGAGTTTCAGATCAGCATGACACAGCGTGCAGAGCGGCAGTGTGTTCTGAAGGTGGCATGAGGCTGTGGGTCTGTAAACAGTTTTATTGGGAAGGCTTTATAATGCAGATGAAATGAGATGAAAGTAACTTGAAATTGATGCACCTGATTAATTTCAAGCCAATTCTTGTGGATGAAAAGGCACACATACTTTCCCCAATATGTACAACCAGGATTTAGTGGGGAGAAAAGATGGTTAAAAACATCTATATAAAAATAGGTGTGGAATGTGGACACCCACGCTGAGAGATGCATCATTTCATGGCAGCACTTACTACTACACAGACCAGCTTTTTCGTTGCTAAGCAACTGTAGTCCTTTTTACAAAATCTGATAGCTGTCAGGTTAGACATTCCGATACATTACATGAATGCCCTCAGTATTAACATTTCACTACACTAATATTTACAACCTCAATATACTGTACTTGACTGAAAAGTTATGGGAAATTAGCATTAATCTGGTAAGAAAACTGAAACAAGGCGAGGAAGTTTATGATGTAGAACCATTAGATTTGTATTTAGAAGAAGTGGAGATACAAGCCCTCAATTCCATCGATAGGGATGGGGATCGTGAACTCACTGGCTAATAAGACTGACGAACTGGCTACCTTGGTAAGGAACCAGACGTTGTTCAGAGAATGTAGTCTGGTATGCCTGACGGAGACGTGGCTATAACTAGCTGCATCCCCACTGCTAACGTGGAGCTACCGGGATTCAGCGTGGTTCGCTTGGACAGAGAAACTTTCGGGCAAGAAGAAGGGAGGTGGACTGGCACTGTACATAAATAACAGATGGTGTAATCCTGGTTATGTTACAGTTAAAGAGACTGTATGCAGTAAGGATGTGGAGTAACTAGTGGTTAGTCTCCGGCTGTACTCCATGCTGAAGGTGTTCTCGCACGCCATTGTTGTCTGTGTTTACGTTCCGCCACGAACCCTTCTGGACACAGTGTGTCACGTCATTCACTCTACAAAGTCTCCAAACTCAACACACAGATGCTTTTTTTGCGATCTCTGTGGACTTCAATCACGTAACACTGGATTCCACCCTCACTAATTTTTACCAGTTTGTTGAATGCCCAACTAAGAAAAATAGGACAATAGACCTCATGTATGCAAACGTGAGGGATGCATACAGCTCCACCCTCCCTACCCCCACTGGGAAAGTCGGACCACAACCTCATTCATCTTTAGCCAAGGTACAAGCCACAAGTACAGAGGCTGCCAGCTGCTACACGCACCTTCAGGAAGTGGACACCAGAAGCAGAAGAGGCCTTGAGAGACTGCTTTGAATCCACTGACTGGAGTGTGCTACAGAATGGAGAGGATCTAGAGAAGGTCATTGCACAACGGACTATCTGAACTTCTGCATGGACGTTGTAGTTTCCACAAAGACTGTGCGCTGCTTCTCTAATAATAAATCTTGGGTGACCAGTGATGTCAAAAACCTCCTTAATAAGACGGCGTTTAAGGATGGTAACTTAACTGAACTGAGGCGTGTGCAGAAGGAGCTCAGAGCGTCAAACAGACAAAGGAGTCTCACAGGAAGAAAGTTGAAAGGAAATTGGAAGAAAACAATTTGAAAGAGGTATGGAAGGGGATGAAGCAGCGCCAGGGCAGAGGGTGATGTGGCCAGAGCAAATCAGCGAAATCATTTCTATAACCGTTTTGATGACTCTGCCAGTGCTGCTAATGGCCTTGCCATTGTAACCGCTTTATTTTGTCATTTTTGTTTTTTCCTTACTGCAATGGCACACAATTGATATTTTCCTTTGTATTTTTTGCAGTATGTATGTGTGCGTAAATGTCATAGGTCTGTGTGCCTATGTGTATGTACACTGTATATACGCTACTGGACACCTAAATTTCCTTCTGGATAGATATATTTATCTATCCATCATCTATCTTTTTTTTTTTATCACGCGTCTTTCATATTACCAATCTCAGGCTACTTAATACCAGGGGTCCGTCAGCGCTGTGTGGGTATCAGGTGTCTCCAGTCACTGTATGTGCATATTCTGAGGTTAGGCTTTCAAAGCCTCAAAGCAAGAGAATTTAAAGCATGAAGCCCAGAAAAGTAGTTTAATGTATATACAACCTCAAAGTGGCCAGTTGACTTAACTGTCATCTTCAACATTTTACCCTAAACACATTAAAAAGGTCACATTTTACTGGTTATATATGTCATTTTTTTTAATAATATAACTTCAACACCTTTCTCACAAATAATCTGAAAATAAAATGCATCCATTTAATTTACGTACAGATTTGGACTATAAATATTTATCAGGAATCATAGTTTTGTATTTCATATAGCATCTAAGTAAAGTTCATATTAAAAGGAGGGGAAAAAACCAACATTCTCTATTAGAAATTAATTTATTGTGCATCTACTGCATAGCTTTCACAACTGAACATACAGTGCTGCTGATGTACAAAAAGGTACTGCTGTAACTGCCTAACCCGCTTCACATTTAGGCAACACAAGTTAAGACAAGCTGAACATAAAAACACAAAAAACTGGCACATGCATTGGCCAGAGGAAAAAAAAAGCACTAAATTGATTATAAAGTAGATCTCTCCTTCCAGTTTATGTACAATCCTGTAGTAAGACTAAAACTGTTTTTGTTAATTATAACAACGAAAGCAGCAACAACTTAAACTGGAACCATGAATTGTTTTATACATAGTGTCACAAATGTCCCGGATTTACCTATGAGGTCTAAAGAATAACATTTTTTAGCCTCTCAGAACTGGAACACTTGAGATTTTACGTTTATAGACATATTCTCTAATGGAGAGATAACTTGTATGTTTAGTTCATAATCTCATGAAAACAGGACACTGTGCATCACAAATTTGCATAACATTCCTGGAATCTGCACATATTGCACTAAACGAAATCTAAACAAAAATAGCTCTCAAATATTTTAGGACAGCGTGAGATGCATTACCACTGTCAACAGCCAGGGGACCCCAAGGGCACAGAAACATCGACACACAGCCAAGAAAGTAATAACGGGATTGCCAGTATGAACAAGGTCCATTCCTTTGATTTTCAGATGCAGCAGAATCTGCCTCCTGTTGCCAGACAGGAAAGCCAGAAATGAATAAGCCGTTTCTTCTGTAGTGACATCTTTTAAATTGTGATTTCCAAACAAAGTAACATACAAGAAAAGCAGGATGGCAAGAAAGAAATCCCCCCCCCCCTTTTTTTTTAACATTAGTCAGTCTTCAGTCGTAAACTTAAATATATCTATACATTCATCATGAGTCTGGATCCCTCTGTAAAGTAGCAGCACAGTGTATTTCTGTCAAACACCGTAAACAAAAAGGGAACACTAGGAACAAAGCAGACACCTGAGATAAGGCACCAAAAGAAAACTAATCTTTAACAAGGGAACACATCAGGTATGTAGACCACAAGTTTGGTGGAGGAAAAAAAAATCTATCAGTTCTCCAAACAATTATTGTGTTTCTGTATCATAACTTGTGGTCTATAAATTTTCTAAAGTGAATACAACTGCATCACTTATTGATGAATAATCAAGATGCAAATGAAGACTGGATTTTGGCAGAACACACAGAAATTTGCATTTTATAAATATCCCCTTGCAATTTTAGTTAAAATCCAACCAACAGTGTTTCCACACACACACACACACACACACACAGTACAAACATCATGCAAGAAAAGGAAAACATTCTTTCAGCATGCTGACAAATGACTCTCCTGATATCTTCAAATAAGAAGACCAGCTCTGGTCAGTCACTATTCCTCATAGTCCTGCTAGAAGGATCTCCAACCACAATCTTACTCAGGAAGTTGAAACCCTGTTGGTTTTAATAATGCTACTCCTTCAGTACACCGTGCTGCATTAGACAGCATTAATCAGAATATGAATGGTCTATACTGACGTCTTAATACAAGGTGGTTCTGTTACAATATACAAGACAAGCACTGGCAATCGCATAGCTCAAGCAGGCAAGACTTGCGTACCAGTGAGAGACATGCAGAACCTTAAATGTGGTGGCACAGATAAAGGTGTGCATCTCAAAAGAGAAAACACACCTCCACTGGAAAGCTTGGTAGAATTAGTGTTCTGTGTTTGAAGTAGTACAACATTTTCAACCAACATGCCATAAAGCATTTTCTGTTTTGGGCACACACAAATGATTCAGCTGAGGTATTTAAAAATTGAAATAAATAAAAAGTATGGCAAACAAATTTGGTGGAATGTGCACTGAAAATGTGGTAAATTGAACATAAAGGCTCACTCTTCCTCACGCTTTGCAGATAGAGTTTATGTTACAACATGCCCTGTTAAATGACCTGACTGCCATCACCAACCCCAGAAGTTTGGCCGTCCCAACAAACTAGATCAGAGCGACAAACATTCCGCTGCTGCGTTTCTCCGAGTGCTGAGAGAACACAGTTCCTCACATGTCTGCGTTTCCACAGAGCTGAAATGGGAATCCATGTTCCAGGCGAGGTCGGCCATCAGGAAGTCATCCATTACTGTCTGAGTCTCATTGCTGGTCAAGAACAAGTGGCCCAAGCTCTCAAAAGAGCTGCTCACGGTTTGCGTTTCCGTGCTGCTGAGTTTTATCTGGCTGTCCTGAGCACTGGCTGGAGAAACAGCCTGGACAGGTTTATGTGTCTCTGAGTCTGAGGCCTCAATACTCATTGAGAAGCCCGATTGTTTGAGAAAGTTCCCCAGAGGAACGGGGTCATTTGTGTCCAAGAGGAAGTTGAGATCCGTTTGAGTCTGGGTGTCAAACGTCTCTAGCCCAAGATAATTTGATTGAGGCCTAGGATTATTGTCGTTCTGGGCCGGGTAATCGAGAAACAGAAAGTCAGTTTGAGTTTCGATGTCTAGGGATTCCAAAGGTGTCTCAGAGGTCAAAGTACCAAGTTCACTTTCCTCTGTTTGAGTCTGAATGTGTGCAGCATTTAAAAACTCCTCAAAATCAAAGTCAATGCTGGCATTATGTTCCGGGACAGATGTCAGACCTGGTTCACAGACCACTGTGGCATTAGACAGAGGGCTACTGGTCATTGAGTGGGACAGAATGTTCTCCAGGTCATTGAATAATGCCATAGTCTGAGTCTGGTTGTCGGCCATGGCATTTGTTTGGAGCAGTTCTGTCTGAGAACCAAAACACATGACACCTACTGACTTATGGTCATAGAGACCGGAACTACTGCAGTTCAAAGATTCTTCCACAGCGTCTGTTCTGAAAGGTCTCTCTTTCACGGTGGTCTGTGTTGACACACTAAGGGAACTGCTATCAAAAAGGTCTGTGCACATTATAGCCTGGTCCATCTGACCTCTGTCCTCAGTAACACCTAGGCTGGCACAAGTCTGTGTTTCCCTAGTAATATTATAGGTAGGCAGGCAAGTCTGTGCTCCAATGGAGGATGTTACTTTGGACTGTGAAGGAAAAGTCTGGGTCTCAACGCTGACTGGAAGTTGGACCTGAGCACTAACACTGATGTCTGTTTGGGAGCATGATGAAACTGAGGACTCACTCAAGATGCATGTGCTCCCTGGGGTGAAGCTCTTCGAAAGGTAAGAAATATCAGTCTGAATGTTGGTAGAGGTGCTGTTCTTTTCTGTGGGGTCTCCTGAGTTTTGACCAGAGGTTATACTTTCCAAATTTACTTGTATTCCGGTACTAACAGGATCCAGGCCCAACCTGGGTAAGGGCACCGTCTCTCTAAGGTTCCATGTCTTTGTGTTCACTGTAGGCATCACACTTCCTGACTGAGGCACCAGGTGAACGGTGCTCATTAAGGAGGCTTGATTGTTTACAGCCAACACAACTGACCTGACTGGGGTGCTGTCTGCAGAGGACAGGAGAACTGGCACATGTGCAAACTGCATCACTGGTACGTTCAACAGTGCAACCTTAGGCTTTGGGAGCAGGAGCTTGGGAATACCTTTACTTGGACTGAGGTTCTGGTTGGTTGTATCAGACTTGGATACTCCATCAGCAGAGGGAATTGCTGCGTGGAACTCTTTCTCCAATGGACAAGGCTGCTCTGTAAGTTTGACTTTTGTAGAACCCACAGTTAATCCCTCCATCTTTCTTTTTTTGACTGGCGGATATCTGTAAAACCAAGACGACAAATAAGTCCTGTCATGAGAACCAGTCTCAAAGTTCTCAAACTGCCTTAATTCATGCAACAGTGGTATGTCCTTCTCCTGTGGATTCATGTCCCTGAAAAGGGGATGGCCTACCTGTGCTCAGTTGGCACCTCATGACCTGTTCTGTAGATGTGGGATAGAAGGGCTGCCCGGCTGGCGTAGGGGCAGCCGCAGGTACAGTGGTAGGTCTTCCCACAATCCTCAGCATGTCTCCTCAGGTCCCACTCTGTGCTGTAGCAATTGCTGCACTTGGCACACCTGTGCTTCCTCTCTGCATGCATTTTCATGAAATGCTACTCCAAGACACATAAGAAAACCATGATGATGTGATAAGAAAATGCATCCTTAAAAGAATTTTTAAACTGACGACTGCCTAAAAAACAAAACCCAGCATATGGGAGAGAGAACCAAATTGCTACACCTTTTCAGTACAAAATGGATCAAAGACGTGTGAGACCGAATCTCCATTCTGGAATATCAGCAAGGAGATCTGAAAGTAGCTTTAATGGATTGTGAGTCATACCTGTTTAACCAGGGAAAACTGTGAGAACGGTCGGTTTGGTCCTCTGGGACAGCCTTCTATCGGACAGCAGTAGAGTTTCTGTGATCCCTTCATATCCTTCCTGACCGTAGGGTTGATGAGGCCATCCTGCAATGGGCAGAAACACAGATGTACAAAAAAGGATCTCAAATGGGGTCTGATCACTAGGAAATCAGTTACATTAAAAAGAACACGAGTGACTTATTGTAGTATGCTTTACCAAATCAGGTCAGATTTAGAGTTAGAATACTGACAGTAGTTTAATGCTCAAGGTGTTCAAACAGAATAAACGATATTCAATCATAAATTTCCAAACATATAACTATAACCCAGTTATAAAGGCGCACTAAGATTTTTTCTGGTGAAACAATGCTGCTAGGCATATCCAAGTAAATCTGAGTAAATACTTTGCACCTTTTCAGAACAAAATTAAATCGCTAATGAGGCCATGATATGACCAACAATAAGGAAACAGGGATAGCAAGAGCCCTACATGCACAGCACGGATAAACACGGATTAAAAATGGCTGCTAATCTGCGATGCCTTTTCAAAGGACTATAGGATCGTATGATTGCTATGGAGTCAATGCCTGAAACATCACAGAAATCGATGCAGGCACACAGGGGAAAAACACGCCATGTTACAGCTCTAAGGTTATGAGTACAATGAACATGCTACCGTGCTAACACTCAATTCGAAAAGTGAAATTAGTTGGTTCTATTCTTACATGACCACATAGAACATGCACTGAGGGACAGAAACCTTAAGTAACACCAATATTTAGCAAAAGATTTGCTGGTAGGGTGAATTTAAGATGATACAACTGCTCTTTGTATTCTACAGAGCTCAGTGAAAATTAAACGGCCAAAATTCACACATAAAAGGATGCACATATGTTTATTGCAGATTTAACTCAAATTACAAAAACAGCAAGAAACAAGATCCTTAGGAAAGGTAGATGACTGTGAGGCACTTCTCCAAGCAAAATGAAGGGTAAACAGGGTCAAAAAGTGGATGAAAGTTGCAGACCAGTTATACATGCACATGCCTATGGAGATTGGATTATGCTCTATTCTGCACAGACTAAAATCTTTAAATGATGCATGTGGGGAAAACAAACCTCTTCTGGCCTTTTCTCTTTTTGGGATGGTGTTACTCCGCATTTTATGAGAAAACTGCTGTTTTGGGGTTGAGCATTATTGCAACCGAGCCTTTTCCCGGCCTGGCGAACAGCATATTCACTTTGAGCCTGCGCGGTTCTCTTAAGATTTTCTTATTTTGACAAATACAGGTGTCAGGAATAATAAAATAAACCTAATCCAAAATAACAACATTCCATTACAAATGCGCAGCAGTCATGTCATTGTAGTTAACACATCTCAGCCCTTGGTGTCAATGTTCACCTAAAATCCCTTTCGACATAATTCACAGTAACACTGCTAGCACACCGTGAAACAAACATTAAACTGAACAGAAAAAGTGTTCAGGTAGAACTTTTTAACCATGGGTCTTATATCACAGACCGGCAGTTTAGTGTCATGCAAATAATTACGACAGTCAGATTAAACACATAAAATTAGCCTTCCGCGTCCATTAAAGCACAAGTGACAAGGAGTTCAAACTATCATTTTTAATTTCGACAGAATCAAATTCCTTGTATGTGCGAACGTACAATAAACTCGATTCTGATCAATGTAAAAGATAACGGCACTGAGAACATGCGTAAACATCAACACCAAATATTATTGATATTAATAAATAATGTTTTGCTTGAATACGCTTCTCAAAATGCTTTACACCGGCGGAAGCGCTTGTACGCGCATCATACAGCACAGATACATTATTACTGCGTACATATTTCTGCGTGCACGACCAAATACACGCAATAAGAGCACGGAGCTCTGCGTTAATCAGCCAGCGTTCATCACTCCGCTGCCGGCAAACGCTCACCCAAAGCACTGACGATGAGCAACTTGCCTGTGAACAGCCAACAACTCGAAATTGCACTGTTTACCCCTCGCTGAGCTTGCGGCATTTGGAAGCATATATATGTAGTTTAAAAGCTGCTCTGTACACACCTTGACCCTGTGTGACTTCACCAGATGCATGTTGAGCGCAGGGGTATTGGGGAGGATTTTCCCGCATCCTTCGACCGTGCAGAGGATGTTGGTGCGCACCTCTTTGGTCAGCTCGGTAATCGAGGGCTTTATGATCTCCCGGGGCTGAGACGGCGGCCCCTTATCTTCCTGACTGGGGGAGCAGACCTTGCTGTTCCTATATAGGTGAGCTCCTCTTGCCTCGGATGCGGTAGCAGCCATCTTTCTGCTGTCAAGCCGAACAAACGGAGCAAGGCGGCGCAGTAGAGCCGACACTTCCGGGGGATCGCCCCTCCGGTGCTTGTCCATCAACGTCATAAAAGAGGCGTGTTCCCGACGGGAAGTGACGTTGTTCGTGACGTTTCCATTCGAGTTCCGACTCGGAAATAATCGAACGCATATGGCAAGCCGTTTTAACATTTAATCAAGTCACACTCCTATCCGTAATTACATTTTAGATATTCACAATAGCTTTTCTCCTAGTCAAAATTGTATTCTTACTAGTCAAAAAGAGCATTTCAGATATCCACATCGTCATTCTTCCTAGGAGAAATTACGTCACTTTTGCCATTCATGTCTATTGTGCTTTTTAATTTCAGATATCAACAATTATATTTCAGATATCCAGAATGTTCATTCTGGATATCTGCAATTGAATTCTTACTAGGAAAAACTCCCATTTCAGATATCTACAATGCAATTGTTATTAGTCGCAATTAATTTTTTTTAAAAATGTATTCGAAATTACATTATGGATATCTAATATGGTGGTACCCTTTCGGATATCTGAAATTAAAATTAAAAAGATCCCAGGGCAGGGAAGAGCAAAGATAACTGTCCTAAATGGAGTTTAGCGTGTCCCCCTGTTCCCTTAATAAATCTCCCTCTAGAAAGGCGATTCTCAGCATGTCGGTCTCCCAAGTCATCATGCTCCATTAGTGTCTCAAATTCTAGTCTCTCCGCCTAAAATTCAAGTTTCATTAAGTAAAAGCTCTCAAAATACATACAATGAACCAGTAATTTATTTTAACAAAAATATAAAAACTGCATTTTCCAGCAGTAGAAAGCAAATACACCTATTCAAAATTTGCCGTCTTCCACAAATTCAACTGACAAGGCAACTGTTATGGAAAGCAGAGAGTATTGTAAGATATATACATTAAAAGCAGAATGGAATAAGATGGTAAAAGCAGTGCAACAATACACACTTCATACAAATGAACACAAAACAATAAGACACATGGATACACTCCAGACAGTTCGCTTCAAGTCTGTACAATAAAATATTCTCAGGTCTCCAGTCTGTACTTCAATGATCTGGACCTAGTGTATCAGAGGCAATGCTAGGACCTTTGTCTCGGATCACAAAGTAATTCCTTCCTTTCTGCGTTATAGATGACAGCAGAGGTGTCAGGGGTGTAGAAGCCATTCCTAAAAACAAAAATAAGAATATGACAGCTTAGCTCCAAGAAGGTATCTGCTATTGCACCATTAAGCAGGGTAATTGACCAGTATCTTAGAAATACAACGATCTTAATGATCCAACTAATTTGCGTTGGTGTCAACAAAACCAGTCTCTGAAAAGGCAGGCAAAATAAATGCAGAGAATGTTACTGCCCCTCGGTGGCGAAATGACGCACTGCATTTGACAAGAATATTACTGCAGTCACAACTGACGGATTTTTAAAACGCTAGTAGAATCAGCCCATTTTTAACAGTATTTTCTCTACATTAATGATTAGCACAACTATAATGAACCAAGTTTGTGGCATGTGAGGAAAGTCAGATGGTTATGCTGCAGAAGTGCTAATTTCAGGGGCACCACAAGAGACACTTCGTGCATGTGAAGTGTTCATAGCTAGTTCAAAGGTATTTTTTTTGTTAATTAATTTAGCAACTAATATTCCAATATATAACGTTGGTGTCAAAACAAAATACCACTCTAGAATAGAAGATTTATGTATCGGCAGACTAACGCTGAAATCTATTTTTCATGTACAGAGATTCTTTAGTGCACCGATTTATGCATCGCCACATTAACTCCGAAATTCGATTTTTAATTAATTTATGATTTAAATATGTTTGGATTTCAGATGGAGAAATGTTGCAAAGCCTCTATAATACTATATGTGGTGCGCTCTAAACTATTCCCACATTGTCAATACATGCTGCATGTGTGGTAATATGAGGAACATACTGGCACATATTGCTGGACAACATCCTGACACAGACAAGGCATCAGAGAAGCATAAAAGCTCAATGTAGTTTATGCTACGACAACAGCAAATGTAGCTTTTTGTTAACGTCTGATTTTACGTTAAAATTTATACTATTGTATTTGAAGTTGTTTTGCATTATTTAAATGCTGCCTTTGAAAATTATTTGGAGTGTGCTACGTTTACTCATGTTAAGTTCAGCTGCACAGCTATTATGTAAAGCTTTAGTTTTTTACATGGTTCAAGGCTTTAAAATTCTAAATAACAGAAAAAACTCATAGTATCAAATCGGGATATCCATAGAACTGCACTACACATCAAATCGGCACCTAGGTATCACGATAATACCGTATCGGTAAGTGACTGCTCATTCCAAACCCTAATGATTAACCAAATGTGTTTTGCTATCCAGACAAAATGGTCTTTTGGTGCTTTGGCACCCTTAAGCAACACCTTTAAATTTAAATTCAGATTAAAAACACAAAGATGAGTGGCAAACAACTCCCCACAAAAATGAACGTGGGGGACATGAAAAGTATCAAAGTTCATTCAAAGGAAGGAAGGAAAGCAGGAATGATAATTTAGACAGCAGATTAAAAGTTCCAGAGTATGATACTTTCCAGAATGAAAAAGGTACGCACCTGAAGTAATGCAGTATTTCAGTGATTCAAGGAGGTTGCTGCTGGTGAACTTGACTACACCCCGGAAGGGCTCATCCCTGCCATTAAGGCTCTCGTTCCCATGTTCTCTGTACTTAGTTTCCAGCTGATATAAAAAAGGAAACTGGGATGATGCCGCATTCTCTTTGACCTTTGAGGTCACCACAACTGCCCTCGTGTACAGGTGGTGAAGGAAAGGACAGAAAGGAGAGAGACTGAAGGTGCTGTACCTTGTAAGTAGCTCTCTCCAGCTTTGGTGGATCCTCGTAACCAAAGGCCTCAGCAGCTGCCCGCTGTTTATGTTCCACGAGTTTAGCGTGTTCATTTTCAATATTGGGATCTTGGCAAGGAAAGGAAAAAAATCTCAGAATTAATCTCTACATCACAAGTTTCTAAAATACTGCTTTAAAAGTGTCACCTCATACTTGGAAGCGGATTGCTCTCCTTCAATGGCTTTGGACAACTTGATGGGAATACCTGAAATGTGTGGTCAAAAATTTAAAAACGGAAAATGTCTTGTTTGTAGACATTATCAAGGTCTCCTCATTCCCCCACAACATAAGAAAAAGTTGCCTGTACATACCTGCTTGTACTGTCTCATCAACAAATCTCTCAGAGCAGTGATGCAACGCCCATTAAGGTGAGCATTTTTGATTGAACTGTACCCAGCGGCCAGAACCAAAGCCTGTGGATCACACTACACGTTACACCAAATACAGGACAATGTGCCAGCATCATAAAATGGACTTAAACAGAATATACTCAGGAGGCACAAAGCAGGTTAAGTAAGGTTCACTTTACCTGAAACAACAGAGGCTTGTGTTTGTTGGTCAAACCGGAAACAAACACATAAGGAGTCTGAAGATGGTGCATGACATATGTTGGTTTTAAGTGGTTTGGTCTGTTAAAATTGTCCCCCCAAGCAATTCGAATCCAAACAGATTCATCCTGGTGCCTCTTCAGCTTTATGGAAACCTGCAAAGTATTCAAAGCACCTTTCATTACCGTGAATGTTGTCTGCTTATTTTCCTCCTAGTCTGCATTCAGATCTCAGTGATTTCTTCTCATTCGTCTAGGAGTCTGTGAGGCCGGGTACGTACATGACCGATGAGATCCTTCAGATGTGCTTTAAATCGCTCTCTAAAATGCATCAGCTCCAAAGACTGGGCTTCATCTGCACAAAGACAATTGACAAAAGTAAATGGACCAAAACACAACAAAAGAGAAATAAAACCAGCACCCAATTCTTCATGACTAGGGCTCGTCAATATGGCAAAGTATTTTATTGCAATAATTTTTCTCCCATAGCATTCAGTATCGATAATTATTACTATATAATTCAAGTCATCAATTATTTACTTCAATGCTCCATTATGGTTGAAAATTCCCCTAGGATTCCCCTTAAACAGATTCAGAATATGAAAAAAGATGACAAATCGATCTGCAAGCTGAAATCTAATTTTAATAACTAAATCATACAAAAATAAAACTTTTCTGCATAGGGCATAAAACTAGCTGACAGTATGGTTTGTTGTTCTGCAGCCTGCAGCTTGTTCCAGGGAACCTGACTGACATTGATGGTATCGAGTTGCCATGTTGAAAAATAAAATGCCGTATCTCATCTTGAACCAATGCGGGATGTGATTTGTGCTGTATTCCAGTATTTCATGATTTCTGCTCAGCAAATTTTATCACTGGCTTTCTGTAAATGCTTACATTTTGCACGTTCTACTGCTGCGCGTTCCGAAAAGACTACCATGCCATTGGTTGGAATCATGTTAATGTTTGTGATTCGTGCCATCATACAATGCTCCTCATCAAAAGTTCATCCAAGTTTTTCATTTTCTTATCGGTTTAATTTTATATGTCAATGAGTCAGTATATTATTTCTATCACCTAGGCCAATTCATGACAAAAGCAAATATTATACGGGAATGATTGAAATTTGACAGCAAAATAAGAGCCGGCATCACCTTACCATCAGTTTCCACCATCTGGTAAGCATACCACATCCCCCGCTTTGGGTTCTCTATGCAGTCTGGCAGAAGGAAAGTTATTTACAATAAATGTTAATTAACATCAAGCAGGCAAAGGAAGAAAAACAGTAAAGCAAAAGAAATGGTGGACCATGAGGATCTCTCTCATTATACACATTTTACTGAACAATTTGCATGCTTCCTATTACTTAAGGTAGGGAAACATAGTGGCTCAATGGGTTGCTTTGCAGCTCCAGAGCTGGGGATTTGAATGTCACCCCTGATCCATGTTGACAGTTTGCATGTTTTCCCTGGGCGGTGTGGGATTCTTCTCTCAGTGCAAAAGACAGGAAAATTGACATCTCTAAATTGTGAATTGTGAAATTGTGAAGATTGGAATCCAGGGCGTTTTCCTGCCTTGTGCCCTATTTCACCTGGGATGGGCTCCAACCTTGGATCACTAAAGGTATTACATAAAGCACTTTGCACTAATTTAGAATCATTCTAACAGGCCTGGCAAGCGCACTTACTGCGTCCAGAGTACGGCCCGGTAACCCGAATACGTTAAGGAAAGGAATAACATTTCAGACAAGACTTACAAAGCATTTCTACCTCCGCGACATGTTTCATTGACAGGTCGTTTTCCTATAGGAAACACAAAGGGAGAGAAGTGGCCGGGTCAGGGAACGCGACTGTGCGGCGGGGTGCGCAGCACGCGCAGTGTCCCGGATGCTTTTCACTAGAAGAAACGACAAAAATGCCAGCTGGCCGAGCCACTCAAAAACACAACATCGCTTGAAGTGTAACTCACTGATGTCCTATTATCATGCCTTATTAACCCATCAAATATTTCATCTGTGGAATTTACACAGCAATCGTTTACATTTTTAGATCAGGGCTGCAAACTCCCCTGACTCACGCTATCTGACTCTCACGCTCAAGCAGGAAATCTTACGGCAAATCTGAATTAGTCCATTATAAACCTAAAATTAGCTACATCAAAAGCGTTGGGGTAGCTTGCAAAACCGACAAACTATTTACAAGTTAAATAAAACTGCTACATGCATGTAAATGTGTGTGCAGACGTGATTCGAAAATCTCACTCCAGCCAGCTGACCAAAGTTGGCAGCTGTTACATTTACTTTCAATTGCGCATAGCATTTACATTTTTACTTTTAATTTAGCAGACCCCTTTTCCAAAACAACACACAAGTGAAGGAAATACAATATAAAAGTACGTGCGACCAAGGAGTCGACTAGGACTATGAATCGATTAGCAAAAAGGCAAAACGATTAAAAATATGCGAGAAGCGGCAGGCGGTTGCCGGCCGAGCAAAGCGAGCCAAACGAACCCGGCAGAGAGAGATGAGGTTATCACACAGCAGCCACTTCGGCTGCATGGATTCCAGCGATCCGAGTTGTGCTTCCGACAAGCAGCCCCACCGCCCCAGGACGCCGTTCAGCTTGCTGGAGGGTATTCTCCGCACCGTCTGCCGCAGAAGTGCTTCGGCTGCAGCATCCATGCCGCTGCGAGAGGCGGACACACCTACAGCACCGACTGGGCCGAAAGGCTAACCAGCTAACTAGATTTTAAAATCGCCGTCCACTGGAACCATATAACAGGCCGGCGTTAAATGCTTTAAGATATAACTATATGTTTATTTATAACATATCATTACTGTACCAATACACCATATAACTGCCTAAAACGTTCGACTCTAAGCTTGGAAACGAAAACATGCCATTGGAAAAAAATTTAAACAAGCCGCCAATGTGCGCAGTTGAAACTGATGGACATCCTGTGAGCCAATCACTGCCGACGTCCCGCCCAAAGGCGCATGCGCAGATCGTCAGCTTAGCCTAAAATCGTCATACTGAGAATAACAGAAGGACTGGGAGGGTTATTCGTATTTAGGCAAATAGATCACTTGATTTTTGATTTCACGCTACTGGAAAAGTTCCGAAACAACACTTACATTTAAACAGTATATGTTTTATTGTTTAGTCAGCTATGCAGTGAATTGTTTGTGTAGAGCTGAAATGGATGATTGGGGCATTATTTCAAAAGCAAAATAAGCAATTTTAAAAGAAGCTCACATAAAATACCCATCTATATTCGAAAATGCAATTTAAAAGAGTCACGGCCAGGCGTATAACCGTTGAAGCTGGTAATACTGGCCCAGACAAGCAATCATTTGACAGACCTCGATTCATCCTTTTCAAATTAATACTGGGAATAGTGGTTTATACATCATGCCTGATGCCACCTGATACTTTCACGTTTGAGTCATATTTCGTAGTGATATTAAATTAATTTAAAATGACACAATATAATAGAGACCAAGATAACACTCACAGCATTCCCACCAGTAATATATTTGTCTCCGACTGCTGGAGAGGAGGATAAACTGACGGCCAGTTTACAAAGAAGCACATTGTCTCTAATGTAAATTCTTGGATCAAGGTTGGTCCTCGTCATCATCTACCATCATCATTCCTGAGACGAGTGTAAACGTCAACAATTTCATTTGGCTGTATCCCCTTTAATATAATTAATAAAAATGTATATTGTACCAAAGCTGAGATACTGCCCACGTATGAGGGCTGCGGATGATACAATACATTAATGTGCTTATAATAATGTACGTATTAATCTAATTTGAGATTTTTTGTAATTGTAATCCCGGAATTCAAATTCGTTTGTTTACTACACTTTAAATAAGACATAAAAACGGACTATGATTGCTGTGACGAGAATCCTCGATGGCGAGTCTGGGTTATGAACCAGTTCATTTTTATGTCGGTATTTCAGAATGGAACCTGCAGCTTTCTCAGCGCGTGCATCCCCGCTGCCGCTTTGCCAAGAGGTGCTGAATAACACTTTATTTGACGGGGCACAAATAATACAGTATTTGTTCATGATTTGCTAGTAATTGAGCTATTACTATATATCTGTGCCCCATCAAGTAAAGTGTGACCTGTGCTAGGACTGTCACTGTAAGTCCATCCGTCGTGTTTTGTGGCTGTAGCCTATGAGGGATTACGGGAAAAGGAAAGCAGCCTCTTGTAAGGCTGCCTGTGAAAGTCTGTCAACTTACGTCACCCTGTACTTCCGTCTGTTCCATACGGTCACACTTTAGCTAACTGGATATAGAGGTACGGCAAAATAGTGCATCGCTGTCTGCATATTGACCATCTAGGAAAATCAGACTGACTGATTTTAAGGTTTTGGTGCATTCGTGATAGAGAGGGAGTGGTTGCACAGCACTGCTTTGGATTTTGACGCGTTTTCCGTTCGCAGGGAAAAGGGCAGGGGGGTGTCCTGACCGGTGGCATGTCATTTTGTGAACCGTAAACTGCCACGATCGTTCCGTTATTTATTTGGTAAGTTACAGTTTATCAGATTCCGTTACATGTGCTGCGTTTTGAGTATACTCTGGTAGTTTTAAGTTATATGTACGAACCCACTTAAACAGCTGTGTAAAATGCACCTTCGCGTATAGAAGCTTTATATAATTTGTTATAAACATTAAACACTATCGACCAAGTGAATGGATGACAAGAGCTCTCCCAATATGTTTGTGTCCTTGTAATCACATTTCTAAGTACACCGTTTAATATCGCTCCTTTTTGCTAACGGAGTAGTGAATAAATGCAGTCAAGGTTGTAAACGTGTTCTGCAAGCCTGGACCACTGTAGTGGAAAATGCAAGGTAAAGTGCGATATAGCAGCTGTCACCATAATCAAGTGCAACCGCGCGTGTCTGGGCCATTACACATATATTTATATATTTCAGATTTATTTAGCAGAGGCTTTTTAGCAAAGCCACTTAAGAAAGTGGGGTCAGTTAGTCCCTGGTGCCATTGAGGGTAAAGGCCTTTCTCAAGGGCTGGACTCACTCTGCTGGCCATGGATTTAAACCGGTGACCTTCCAATCACATGTACGGAGTCCTACCCCACATCGCCAAATACCACCAACAGAATGTCATTCTCTGCATTTACAAAATCACTCGGGAAAGAGATTCTCTATATTTTGTGCCATATGGACTACGTTGTTACAGCAGCACAGACCGACCGCCATTGTGATTACGGTAGTGTACGGCCGGATAATAGCGGCTTCTGGGTAGAATTTCGGTCATTGCGTTCTGGTGGTCTTCATACATGTTCTTGGTGGAAACTCATGCACCTTCTATCCATAGTTTATTGTTGCCCCCCGTGATATTTTATGTAGATTTTTTTCCCACTTTGTCTATAAGTATCTGCATGCGTTCACATGATGGGACCGACCCGGGGTATATCGCTGTTTTTACACACGCATCATGTCTTGTTTGTTTTTCGTTATTAGAGCCCTTACCTGAAAATGCACCCAGACTTGTCTCCTCATCTGCACACGGACGAGTGCAATGAGCTGATCGCACAGCTGAAACAGTGCCACAAGGAGGTAAGCTAGGAATCAGACCAAATGATATTGTGACAAAGTCACTTGAAAGTAACATGAATTCAGACTGTACTTGTAAAATTTTGGGATAAAATCAGTTACTTAAGAAAAAGAGGGGGGGATATTCTGGATTGTTTCATTATTTCAGCAGATGTATCATCTAAAAAACATAATATTTAACGTCTCCCATGTGTCAGGGTTTGAATCTCACGCCTCTCTCTAGTTTGTGTGGGATTCGCATGGCTAGTCTGGTTCCTGCCCACATGCCAAAAACACGCAATTAGGCTAATCAGTGTCTCTGAATTGGTCATAGAACATGATTGTGTGCATATGCTTGATCGGCAAAAGATTTAAGGTGTACTGCTGCCTGTCCTATTCTTTCTTGTGATAGGCTCCAGACCCCTCTATAATTGTTTCCCAATTTGGTTCTTGGGGACCCACAGACAGTCTGGCATGGAGCTCGGAGGGAGCAAAAACGTGGCATGACTGTGGTCCCGGAGGATCGGATTGGGAAACATTGAGTTAGAAGATGAGTTAGAACGAAGCAGTTTTGTAGACCATACCTGAACTCGTAGTAAAAACATAAATTATTATAACCCATTGTAACATTACAGATTCGGTCCACTAAAATTTAGTGTTAACACCTGCTTTCGGACCAGTTAATAAAATGTCAAAGTGCACTATCGTATGCTAAAAGTATGCCTGTGAGTATCTCTTACGTCATATGTAAGCATGCAGAATTAATTATAGACGTAACGGTGCCATGGATAGAACTGCTGTCTCATACCTTTGGAAGCAGAGTTTCAGTCTCTGCCTGACTCTGCGTGTATGGTCTAAAAAGACACAAAGGTGAATGGCGTGTGTGTGTATGTGTATGTGTGAGCCCTGAGATAGGTTGGCACCCTGTCCTAGGTTATTCCCTCCCTTCTAAGATTGGCTCCAGACCCTGCATAGGACAAGCATGTATAGAAAATGGATGGGTGAGAACAGAATTAATGGAATGGCCAAATGTCTTTTTGGTGACAATTAAATGTAAGCATCATGCTACTTACCAACATCATCCCAACTGCGGTACTTAATCAGAATAGCTAAAAATGATACAATAAGTTGTTTTGTGTAAGAAGCACTGAGTGAGAAACTAGATGTTGAGCTAGTTACTCTACTGATTCCCCTTTGGGTCTAGCTCGTCTTTTATAGTACCTTGCACTGGGCGGGTTCAAGTGAGTTGGAGGGACATACACTATCCTGACAACTGAGGGTGATCAAAATTGATTGAACAGCCTAGCTGACTAATTAATGACCTCAATAATAGGTAGTAATTACAGCATATACAAGCCATACAGTCAATTTTGAGGCCTTTCACCAATGAAGGTCTTTGAGCATAACTGAAAGCATTTTCACCTTTTCCAGCTAGGTGTCTGATTTTTATTTCAATTCACAGCACAACTTCCTCAGGTTTTTCGGCACTTGCAATGATTTTGACCGGGCTATGCGTGCGTGCTTGAAGAAGGAGGTGAGTGACAGCTTTTAAAATGTTCTTTTTTAGGAAATAGTTTCAATGAGTCTGACGTTTTAAAACCACAAAGAAATATTATTAATGAGGTGAACATTCTCGCCCAGAGTGCTGACAAAGCTCACATGGTAGATTTAGGTGGATTTAAAGAGCGGTGAAAGCCTTTTAATGCTGCCTGTCGCCTGGTTTTGTCTTGTCCCACAGTACCAGGCGAAGAGGGAGCAGAACAAGGCTCATGCGGAGAGGATGAGGAAGAGGATTAGAGAGGGACCCAAGAATCTGGAAAACTGAACCTGGCAAGACTGGAGCAGACAGTTTGACCTTTAGGAGTGACTCTCTTCCTGCTGTCCGGCCTCCAAAGAGATGTAAAATGTTCCATTTGTGCAGCATCATATTATTCTGAATCATGGGGAAGAACAGAGCAGGGCTGAGTCCAGCCCCATGGGCACTGAAATTGGCCTGTTTGAACATTTGCCTTTCAGTGTGAGCTGGGCTTCACTCTTTGATGTATCTGAGATACTGTATTGCCATTTCCTGTGCAGACCCACTACGGGTAATTAAATTAGTTAGTAATAAAAATGAAAAATTTCAACATGTTTCTTTCCAGTTTCATGATGTATTCCTTTTGTGTTTAATTGATTATACTTGAAAATACTTAATATGTTAGTAATGGTTTAATAGGTGGAGGCCACTGACATTTTTCCCTCCTCATCTTTTCTGGCTGTTTTTTCACTAGTTTTGCATTTGGCTACAGCCAGTGTCACTACTGGTAGCATGAGGTGATACTTGGACCCTCCAGAAGTTGCACAGGTAGTTCAACTCCTCCAGGATGGTGCATCAATATGTGCCATTGCCAGAAGGTTTGCTCTGTGTCCTAGCACAGTCTCAAGGGCATGGAGGAGATTCCAGGAGACTGACAGTTACTCTAGGAGAGCTGGACAGGGCCATAGTAAGCATGTGGGGGCCATAAAAACTACCGAGTATGATTTTGAGTTGAATTTCAGCAAAATGGATAGATTGGCGCATCATCTTTTCACTTTGATATACGGGGTGACTTTGAATTCAGCCCTCTGTAGGTTCATAATTTTCATTTCCATCAAACGATGTGGCATCCTTTCGTTCCTAACGCATTACCCAGTCTATATTAGTATAGATATCCAGCATGATATTTTTCCATTGACATCTGATGTGTTTTCAAAGTGTTCCTTTACATTTTTTGAGCAGTGTAAAAATGTATTTACTCAGAGGTATGAATAATTGCACCAGGTCAGCCCAGAAACTGCATGGGTTGGAATGAAAGCCAGAATAGACGAAGCAGTGATCCTTTGTGTACATCGTTATGTGGACATCATGGTAAATCCTGATGCTGTAGCAGCGTGTGAGTGCAAACACATGGAAGCCATGGATCTTTAATCGGAATCAGTCTGGAGATTGAGCCTCACGGTGTTTTTGCTCAGGTTGATTTGGCCAGTTCTGGGCTTTGTAGCTGCTCTCTCAGGATTTAAAATGCGTCTTGGGTGATGGGATCACAAGAAGACAGCACTAAATACAAGGGTAAATGACGCATTGTGATCTGATCACTCAAACCAGTTGGCCTGGTGGTCTGGCATGCATTTGACCACATATCTTTTGTAATGTAAACGCTAATGCATCCTGATGCATCCCCGACAAGGACGTCAGGATAATTGTGCACAAGGCTTTTTATTGCTTCCCCACACTGGCGAGAGTGGGACATGGAAGCATCAACATACACTCGAGGTCTTTCTCATAATCAGCTACCTTTATTTCAGTGGAACCCATAAAATATCTGTACTTTATATTTCTGCTCCCGGCATGGATTACCTTACATTTATCTATGTTAAATTTCATCTGCCAGGCATCAGCCCAGTCGCTAATTAAATCCAGATCCCGTTGCAACCTAAACACTTTAATCACATATTAAGATGAAATAGGAGGGGGTGAGGACTTACACCTATTTTGACAGCAATTTGGGATCCCCAGATCAGTCCATGATCCGCTTGATTAGAATTACTAATCTATCCAAGCAATCATGCTCTTGTCAGTCACCGTGTGCCTTAAGCACCCTGCCATTGGCAGCGATGGATTTTAATGCCTCATTTCTCCTTTCTGTAGTCAACCCTGCTCTCAACAAGTGATTCAGTTCAATTTATTTTTATATAGCGCCTTTCACAAGAGCCGTTCATGGGCGTTGTGATACAGTTCAGCATCATTAAGAGAGGGTAACAGGGAAAAGGAAAGACAAAGAAATGAAAAAAAGAAAACCAGATGACAACGGAGGAGAGGAACCAATAACCCCAAGTAAGGAGAAAAAAAAACCCTCTGGGGGTCGAGAACTTCCTGCTCCTGGTGACAATTCCAGCTGCTGCATTTCGAATCCACTGCAAGGTGTTTAATGTGCAGTGTGGGCTTCCAGATAGGAGCATTGCAGTGGTCTAACCTACTGTATACAAAAGCATGTATCAATTTCTCAGTGTCTTGAATAGTAAGAAATCATCACAATTTGGCAATGTTGCGTAGCTGTAGGAAGCACGCCTTCGATACTGCATCCACGTGTGATCTGAATGAGGTGTTTGTATCTAAGATGTGGAAGTGAAGGTTATTTCTATAAGGTTAGAATAATGGGCTGATGTGCCTTATAAAGGGTTTTCTGGTATTGCTTGTCGGACCATCCCAACTTGAGCACTTCTAAGCCTGTGGATTTCCATTTCTGCTCCAATCTGTGGCACTCCTGCTTCGAAGAGCGTGTGTGATCATTAAACCACAGAACCTGGTGGTTTTCACCATTTCATTTTGAATAAAAGGTGCTATTTTGTCTAAAAACTGACTAACCACTGTACTGAAGTCATGGGTGACTTCATTGACATCTGTACTAGTAATGAAGTTCACATTATTTACTGCATTAATAAATCGTAAGGAATTTCTATCATTTAGGTGACGAGTCCTAATAAGCTTCTCTGTCATAGTCAAAGAGGGTGACTCAATCACAAAGGTGATTAAAAAATAGCTGTAGAAGGATTTATTCAATGTACAGACAGATTCATAATGAACATAAACTCCATGAGTGATAATCAAGTCTAATGTATGACTGTGAACATGCGTTGGTCCCGTTACGTGTTGGTAACATTCATCAGAGTCCAGGAGGGCCAGGAAACTTTTGCTGAATTCACTAGTTTCTATGAAACTTAAATATACTTTTGATGATGACTAAGCTTTACATGTAGCCAAGTTCTTTGAATAACTGCCTTGAGCCCTGACTGTACAACCAACCAAAAGGACCTGTGACATACGAAAGTATCACAGCGTGACTCAGAGCGCAACATGCAGAATTCACCAAACAAAAGCCAAGGCGTTCAAATTAATTACATGGTTTATTCAAAGCAGCTTCTCATCCACAAGTATAAATACTGAATCTCATCGACAGACATGAAAAATACAACTTCTAAGGCACCCAGAAATTCATAGACTAGGTAAAGTGGACATACTGTACAAAGTTACATCTGAGAAATTCTCCACTGCAAGAAGGGGGAGGGGCTGTGAGGGGCTGTGAGGGGCTGTTTGAGCAAGTACATACCATACTTCCTAATATGGAATGCAGCTGCACTTCAAGTTTTAAAGGAAAACGTTACACAGAGGTATTTAATATAATGTATTATAATTTATTTATACATCTATGTGTGTGAGAGATATCTGCCAATTTATAGGTCATTATCAATTTGATATTTATTGGCAAAAATGAAAGGGTTAGCCATCACGATCAGCAAACCAGTCCCAACCCAGAGATGGACATAAACATCAAGCAGTAAACAGGGATGTAAACTTTGTGGTACTATATTTCATTAAATTATTTCAAACTTTCATTAAGTTAGATCTTCTAACCCGTATTTTCAATTATAAATTTGGTAAGAGCCCGCAATCCTGTTCAGTAGGAGCGGTTGGAAGTTAGGCAAAATGGATGGATGGATAGATTTTGATAAATCTACAGCATTTAAATAAGTTTTAAATGTCTTGCATCCAATATAAAGCAAATTATTACAGTTTTAGAGGTCAGTGTTTTGATTTGTCCTATAGCAATATAATATAGAGCAAAATAAAGTATGTTTTGGTAACTGGTGATATTCAGAAGCACTTAGTACCAATATGTTTTTTTTTTTACTATAACGAGCTAACACAAACTAATGTTATATAAAATTATAGAACATTACTGAAATTATAGAATATTTATATTTTCTAAATATCAATTAAAATAATGAACTTGGGCAGAAATAAGTAAAGTTACAGATCAAAAGGTTTACTCTTATGCAATATATATAAAGCATCTCTATTGCACTAAATAAATTTAGATACTGTGAGATTGCATTTTCTGTGAGATGGAAATTCACTTGTAAATCTCTATTAAATTGTATGCATCTCATCCTACATAAATTAAAAGGAACATATGTTATTAAACTTGCCTTAGGAAAAGACATGCATTTATGCATAATACATAGAGGCTGTGTGTTAAGCAAGATATACATTTTATAGACTGAACTGGAGACTCTGTGTTCTTTGCATGTAGACTGTCCACCATCCCAACATTACACTTCATACTAATCTATTCCTGTACCGACTACAGAGGTGCCAGTCAGTCAACACCCAGAAATTCACAAACTGAAGCAATTACACTAACAACCCCCCCCCCAATTCAGTTTGACAAAACAATACTTTTCTGGATGGTTAAAACTATGGCACTGGACAACTCCACATTCATCCCTGCCTCCGGATCTAAAAAAAAGAAATTAATTCTGAATTAAATTAAACAATTAATTGTGCAAGGTTTCTAGCATTGCTATGTAATTACAAAAAAGACAAGTCCTGAAAAAAATAACATTTTGACAGGCGAAGTTGATTAACAACAAAAATATGTACATGCATAATTACACAAACAGCCTACTTTGTTTACACAGATACTTCATTCACCAGTTGTCAATTTACTCAAGATTATACAAAAGTTTCACAATGCTACAACACTGTTAGTTATTGTACAAATGAATACAGAGGCCCACACCAGTTGTCTGAATCCATCCTCACATGCAGTTAAAACTACTTTTTGCTGCACATTTACTTCAACACACATCAGCCTAATTAAAAGTGGTGAAGAAACAAATCACTTTTGGGCAAAATACATTTACAAAAATACACATTGTCTGAGCATTGGAAATACCAAAATAATACATTTGACCTCTTCAAATATAATTACAAGCTTAATAAATTATGTCTCTGCAAGTCAATATCACTCTGCAATAATTGTATCATAAAGTTACAAGTAAACCAGGTATCCTTCCATAAACAGCATCTGTTGTTTGCATCATGTAAAGCCAGGATTGTCTGTGACCATGAAAGTGGAACTGACGGACTCTTGGTAAGACTCCTGTCTCTAATGAGTCATCAGTCGTGTAAGGATAGAGTGTGGCTTCAGAGAAACCACACCATGCCTCTTGGAAAGGCGGATGGAGATTTCAGACACAAACAAACAAGCAGACGAAAGCAATATCTCAACAATGATAAACAAGGGGTTCAATTTCTGACAGGTGATGATGCAGAAGGTCAAGGCTAATGTTTCGATAGTTAACATTACTCCGTAGACCGCAGCTAAATAATTCCTCTCTTCCCAGGTGACAACTGTTCACTCAATGTGGCATTCATAACTACAGAGAGTGGCCATTAATCAGAGATATTCAACAAAATGCATCGATGCATGTTCTGTTGCAGAAGTGTGCAAGATGCAATCAAATCAACATAATCAAAGAAATAAGCAGCTCGTTCATACTCATAGGTCAGGCCAGTAAGCTGGTTCATGCTCATTGGTCAGGCTAATAAGCACTGCTTTGTTAATCAAACATAAACATCTCGCTACCAGATAAACAAGACAGATATGTCGAAAGTAAAGCTATGGCTATGATAGCAATGGAAAGGTTTAAGTTACGTTAAATGTGTTTCCTGGTGAAAATGTAAGATTATAGTGTACATATTGCTGTGTTGTTCAAGCCATTGGACTTTAAATTGACTAGGAAGAAGCATTTATGTCTTTTCTGGGACATCTCACTCACTCAGAAGTGCTGCAGCAGAATTAAAGCACAACTGCATGGCCTGGTGAACACACTGGATTTTTTTATTTTTATTTTAAAAGCAGAAGCGAATGCTGTATTTTTCCTCACCCGTACATAAATCAGTGGTGTTAAACTCAGGCTCTCCTCAATGCATGCACTTCACTGAAACAGTTTTGATGGTAGAATAAATGAAGTAATTCCTGTCCACACCAAAGTTATCAATGGTTTAGAGAAGGCTGCATGCATTGTTGCTTCACTGGACCAAGGTAGAGAAGCAGGGCATCAGGTTTGATATTTTTTGTCCTAAAATAGGTAAATGGATTGAATTTATATAGTACTTTTCTACTCCTATGAGCACTCAAAGTGTTTTACGATTCATGCCTCACACACACACACACACACACACACACACACACACACACCGGTGGCAGAGGCTGCCATGCAAGGCACCAACCTGCACACCGAGAACAATTTGGGGTTCAGTGTCTAGTCAATCACACACTAAAAGATGAAACAGATACAGCCCATTTGCCAGCTGTTCCACCAGGCTTGGATCATAAAAACATGATCTGACACCAGAACTGGAATTTGGCTCATTTCTAACTGGGACCAGTAATGAAGAGTACACTTGCCCTTCAGTCTATTGATGTGCTCAGTCGCAGACTTAATGGAAGAATCTAGAGTCAGGTGGAAGAATCAATGTAGTTTGCACTGGTTACGAGTGGATACGGTTATGCTCTCTGTCCTTTTGCAAAGTCTGTCCTTGTTCAATAATCTATATAGTCTGATATGAGCCTTTTAAAGGGGACTCTCAGAAATGGAGTTTTTACTTTTAAAATGACCCTTTAGTTACACTGAGATTCAAATGTGAAAACTGAAATTGCATAGCAGCTATTTTGGAGAATTTCATCTTCAAACAGTGTTAAAATAACAATAGGAGATTAAATTATAACAAAATCCCTGATCAAATATTACATTTTAAGTTTATGTAATCATTGTCCTAACTCAGAAGAAGTCAAACAAACTAAGCTAGACCAGGTTCCAAAGTAGGGATGGGAGTCAGACACCGTCTCCGTGGTTTGAGCCTAACATGTTACACTGAGTCAGGCCTATAGAGATCATTATTACACATTACAGGGTTTACTTGTATTGTTATATCATCATCCAATCTCTATTAAAGAAGGGAAGGGACGTGAAAAGGGGGAACCGCCACATAAAGAGCAGTCCCTCGTGCTTAATGTTCTGCCAGATGGTCCCCGCTGTCGTGCTGACAGACACAATGAAACAAAACAAGAAGTCATGATTCCGATGCTTCCTCACGGACAGTCGAACTGATCACCTCACACAGCTGATGCTCTAGGTTTTGTTTCCCCTTTTTTGATAATGACTTCTCTTTAACAATAACATTTTTCCAGTCTACTTTCTCATTACCTGAAGGACATGAGTTCCGTACACCTGCTCTGAGGCAATGTCTGTTTTAACCAGATTAGGGAGACAGAATTCGAGGTTCAGGCCATGGTCACACATCCCGATTTCCCCTGAATTAATTGCCTTCCTGGGTCCATGAGGGAGGGGCTTGTATTTCACTTCTGTAACCAATCACAGTCTTCATTGTATGTCATTGCCACGTTGGTCCATTTTTTTCTTCTCTTTTTCAAATTCAAGACTTTCAGTCATCAATGTGGGGGTACTGTGTGGCTCAGTGGCCTAAACCTCTCCGCTTGTAATCAGAAGCTTGCTGGTTCAAGCCCCGCCTCAGCAGAAGCCCTTGTGAGAGGTTCTTAATCCCTGGATTAATATGAATATTAAACAGCCTTTGTAGGTTAGGAAGTTCCTATTTTCTATCTATGATATGTCCCTTAACAAGGCACACACAACAAAATGGATGCTTTAGAACAGGGGTCTCCAACTCCGGTCCTGGAGAGCTACTATCCAGTAGGTTTTCTATCCTACCTGGCTTCTGATGAGCCACAGCTGTTCTCAGGTAAATACCAGGAGCAGGTGTGGCTCATCAGAAGCCAAGTGGGACAGAAAACCTACTGGATAGTAGCTCTCCAGGACTGGAGTTGGAGACCCCTGCTTTAGAACAGTGTTTCTCAACCCAGTCCAAGGGGAACCCTGGACAGTCCACATTTTTGCTCCCTCCCAGCTCCCAGCCAATCAGGATCTCCGAATACCTGGTACAGGCACACTGGGAGCTGAGAGGAAGCAAAAACGTGGACTGGGTTGGGAAACACTGCTTTATAAATCTGTGCACCTTGCCACTTAACAAAAAGCATTGGTTTTAATTAATGTGGTGATGTCATACAATGAAAACTGTGACTGGTTAACGAAGAGAAATGCAAGCCCCTACCTTTCATACATTAAACTCAAGATCAAGATGTGCGACCATAGGACAAGGTCATGGATTCCACAGATCATGCATCAAACGGAGTCTGCACAATTATTTACAATCCACTTCCAGGCGAGGAGAGCCTCTAGAACAGGGGTCTCCAACTCCGGTCCTGGAGAGCTACCGCCCAGTAGGTTTTCTATCCTACCTGGCTTCTGATGAGCCACAGCTGGTCTCAGGTAATCAGAAGCCAAGTGGGACAGAAAACCTACTGGAGAGTAGCTTCCCAGGACTGGAGTTGGAGACCCCTGCTCTCGAACATTTTAGACAAAATTTTATGAAGAGTACTGGCAGTTGCTAGGTACAATGCTATTGGCTAACAGAATGTCACAGAACGTCCATTTTAAGGTGGTCATCTGGTCTCTGCTAACCCGAGGATGATGAAAGTTCACTCCTGTGAGAACATTTAAAAAAAAACCCTGTCATACCCATTTCATTATATTATATAATTCATACCTTCGTCTATGCTGATAGTATCTCCCCAGAATGAACTGATCCCATAAATGTTAGGAACATAAACCATAAATAGTTTTATTTTCACATTATTAGACAAAGCTTTTATGTGATTTTGTGTGGACTCGGCTCTGTCAGGCAGAATGGAGGAATGTGTAATAGGCGACCAGCAGATTAGGTTATTCATGAAAGCTTTGGTTTAGAAAAAGAACAAAAAGCGAACACATAACCTATGATACCAAAAAAGAAAACAAAGAATTCTCAACTGATCCACATAAATGGATAATCCACATAAATGCCTTCAAAACCAAAACAAAATTTCAATATGTGTTTTTGTAGTAGGAAGCATTACATAAATTTACAAATAAATAAAAAATGAAGGATAATGTTGTTTTGCGACACCTGACGATGTCATCAGGTCTGTGGAATGCAATGACAGGCACCTGTCAGAAGGGTATCGGGGTGGTTACTATGGAGACGAGTGCTTCACACCATCCCAGCAGTTAGCAGCCAAGTATTCCAAGGGTACGGGCTGCCCCCTTTCTCGGGGGGATGGAACTGCCACTCGCCCACTACCAGGAATGATGCCTGTTAGCAGCGCTTTGCCACAGTGCAGCTCCGAGGAGGACAAGCTGCCGCATGGATTGGAAAGATGTTCACTAGCAGTTGATTCCTGCGCATTGCATGCCGTTGCATTCTGCGAGTCGGAGATGGGAAAACTCGGGCCTTTCGGATCTTCTTTTTGTGGTTGGTGGGACTGGGGTGGGGGTTGGGGTCTGGGGTCCTGGTTGCACTGATCCTGACCAATAGCCCAAAGGAGCATGAGCATCAGGCTTCACAGATCTTTTCCTGTAGGTACGTGAAGAGTGACTCCAGGCCTTTCGTGGAGCTCCACAGCTGTTTCAGCATCTGACACTCCTTCTCGTTGACCTCCTCCAGCACAGACTTCAGGAAGCTTCGTACTAAGCACTTCGACTCCTCCAGAACCTTTAAAGCATGAAGAAAACACCAGATGGAGTGAGGCAGGTAATAAAGTGAGCGTGACCTTTGGAGCAAGAAAAGCCACATCTACTTGTTATCTTTACTGCCAGGACACTGGGAAGCCCCTGCTTTGCTCATGGTTATAAAATGTTCCAAGGGAAAGTACCCAGGAAAAATGTGAAAATGCATATATAAAATTAGGTAATGCTTTATATTAACTGCACCTTCATAATGTATTCATTATGCATTCAAAGACCATTCATAAGTAGTACATAAATATGTATACCTTAACATCCTAACATCCCTAAGCAGCTTTAATATACATAAATAACAGACATTATGTGATTCTACAATGACAATGATTGCTATTACAATATAATGTTTATTAATGTGTATTAAAGCTGTTGAGGTGTGTTAGAATCCTTCAATCAAAAGGCTGCAGTTTCATACAATGGCTATAAAATAGCTTCACACCTGAAAACAACAACAACAACATCCAGGGCAATAATAAATGTTTAAAACTGCAGTTGTGATGAACCTATATGGAGGATGCTGTCATCAAACCATGAGTTTGCTAAACTTTTGATTGTAACCAAGTTCTTTGGACCGACAAAGCAAAATTAGACAATTTTAACAACGAATTCCAGAAGCACAATTGGTGTAAAGAGAGGCATGTGTGTGCAGAAAAACAATCTACTTTACTTTGAAGTTTGATGGTGGATGTCTGATGTTTTTTCTTCCTGGGAACCAAGTGATGTCATAGATTCGATCAACGACCAGGAGGTTTCAGTTCACCATTTGGTTCCCTCTGCTAAGAGGCTAAAACTGGAATACGGCTGGATGTTCTAGTAGGATAGTGATCCAAACCATAGCTCCAAATCCACACAAAAAAGGTACCCTGACAACATGTCATGCTCTTCAATGGTCATAGCAGTTCCCTGACCTGAACTGCACTGAACGCCAGTCAACCGGTTCACAAGTGAGAATCAAGGACCCTGAATAATATGGAGATATTCCTTATAGAGGAATGGATTCAGCTCCCTATGCTACACCAAGGAGTAGCTGCTGAATGCAGAGGTGATTTTTTTAATGAAGAATAAAAATGATTTTGGGTAAAATATTCCATCTGAGCAGTGGTGCCCAAATAAATCAATATCAATTTGTGACATTAATGTACAGAGAAAACATTTAAAAAACAAAGGAATTTTATCCATCATTTTATGCAGTGTGTAATTCTCTAGGACATCCATCCATTCACTTTCAGGGATGCAGGGGGGTCTGCAGTCTATGGACGCAAGGCAGGGAACCAACCCATCGCAGGCACACTCACACTCCCCTACGGACAACTTGGTAACTCCAATTAACCTCAGCATGTTTTTGGAACGTGGGGGGACACCGGAGCCCCCAGAGGAAACCCCATGATTACAATGTGCAAACTCCACACACACAAAGCCCTGACAGAGACTCGAGCCCCCTGGTCCCAGAGGTGTGAGCCAACAGTGCCAAGCACTGCGGCGTCGTGCCGCTTCCTTAGGGCACTCCAACTATATTTTTATACACATATATAAACAACCATATATTACAGATGTTCTTCTGTTTCTGCCCTCTAATGCAAAATGATCAAATCAGCACATTTCTGTGTTGAGTCACAGTTCCAAGAGGCCTGTCCTCGGGGAGGCGCAGACAGCCCATTTTTGGGAGGGAGCATAAATGTGCACTGTCTGGCAGGGAGCTGGGAGGGAGCAAAAACGTGGACCGTCCGGGGGTTCTCGAGGACTGAGTGGGGAAACACTGCTCAGGCACACAAACCCACAAACTCAAGAGGATCCTACCACAGCACTGCAGGTGGCCATTTCCCTCACGCGCAGCATGACTTCCTGGCTGAAGGTGGTTGGCCAGAAGACCTGCGACACCAGTCCTCGACTGCAGGCCTCCTGAGCCGTGAGCTTCCTCCCACAGAACAGCATCTCGTTGGCCTGCCAGGAAAAAAACAGTGGGTGGGGTCACTGGTTACAGAGAGTTTGTGCTGCACATATCGCGGGTCTATCAGTGAGATATGATCGTTCTGTGAGCATCGTGTGCAGATCACTTCCTCCTCTCTCACACAGGGACGAGCTAACCTGCTTAATTTATCATTCACTTAACAGCTTCCTACATGAGACAGGGCACCCCCCCCCCCCCGGCATCACTACACACACAAAACTCCACCATCCTTAAACCCTGTAAGATGGTCACGTTCTAAAAAAAACAAAAAAATTTTAAACAGTGGCTGTAATCACAAGCACCAATGATACTTGCATATCTTCTGTCATGATACAGTATAATATTTTAACAAATGTTTACGTACATGAAACCATCACAGATAAATATCACAAATACCAGATTGCCAGTTTTTAATGGGATATATAAAACAAAACCATAACCCATGTAGATTGTATATAAACAAGACATTAAGCTATTTGCAAACTTATTTAGCTTACATAATGTAAAACATTATGTTAGTAAAGTGTTGGATTGTAAGGCCCAAATGTTTTGCCCCTCCCCCCTGAAGGTGTCTGCCAATCAGGGGATGTTTAGCTTGTGGGTGGTTTGGAACAGGCTTTCTCCAAGCGAGGTGACTCACCAGGGCTACTCCCAAGATCTGAGGGAAGGTGTAAGAGGAGCAGCCGGTGGGTGTGAGCCGGGTGCTGGCACACGGGGTCTGGAACCAGGCCTTCTCGCTGGCCCACACGATGTCACACAGGGGCAGTATGGATGCCCCCAGGCCAAGAGCTGGCCCATTGATGGCCACCACGATGGGCTTCTTGAAGTGCAGGAAGGCTCTAATGAAATCCCTGAAATTGCATGCAACACTCTCTCAGATGTATGATCCGCAGTCCATGCTTTTTTCATACAGAGTGGTAAAGGAAAGGGTAGCGCTGTACAATATCTTACAAACAGGTCATCATCTTACCTAATATAGGCCTGTAAAGATGCAGGAGAGGCAAATGCACCTCAGCCAAGGTAGGCTGCTGGAATTTGGAGCAAACAAGCACAGAGCCGTCCTTTCAGTTACTGCAGAGCCTGAATAACAGGCACGTCTGCTCCAAACACCTCATGAGAAAGCTATAAATGCAAATGAGGGCTACTGCATCCCCAATTATGTATTAAAGCACTCGTTGTTGTGTTTTAATGGGATTACACCAACAGGAGGTGACTGACAACAGATCTCCCGCTGCTCCCTAGCAGGCTGGCCCTCCCCGGCGAGCCCCAGTGCTCTCCTCGCGGAGGCCAGAGCACGTTTCAATCTGCACTGCGATCTCACTGCCACTTTCAGGAGGTGTGAACTCTTCGGTCTTTTCCCCCCATTACTCATCCCTGCCTCAATTAACAGTGCTAACTAAACTAAACATTTATAGACTTCTCTGTGAAAATGACGTGATTCTTGCAGGACTAATATCACATTCATCTATCCATCCACCTAGATAAAGAGCAGATTTATCCAGTTCACCTTCTTATCAATAATATCAATACTCCCAATTTGAGACATTTAAGGTTCATTTCAGTAGGACCTGGGAATCAGTACAGTACAGACTCTTAGAGGGGCAGGTGCTCAAAGCCTCTGACAGATGCATTAAAGTGGCATTCAGAACCTTGAAAGGGGGCATTTTAAATAGTTCAGACAAAATGGGCAGGTGTTCAGACACCCCAGCTCCCCCCCACATGCACGTTGGGAATAGTAACTTTCAGGTTACATGCCTGTTCCCTTAGCTACCAGTGTACCATCCACCGCAGCCAAAAACTAATCAGCGAACAACATTTAGTTTCCCACAAGAATGCTGAGTATAATTACAATAGCAGGCTGAAGCACACCTCGTGTGGGGGTGTCCAAACAAGGCCACACCCTGAGCTCGGCATGTTACACTTATGTGACAAATAAAAGTTGAAACTTGAAACTGCTGCTCTGACAAAAACACTTTAGCCCCTGTCCTCCTACACGCTTCCTCTAGCTGCCTGGCACTGCAGCAGAATAAAGCTTTGGGAGTGAATCAGCACTTCAGTCTTCCTGTCAGAGCACTTCACTACTTCACTACATTACCGGGGATCTGAAGGCACAACCTACAGAGCCGAGAACAAACTCAGACCATTTTCCACACTTGATTCAGCAGAATGCCCATGCATAGGTTTGGAAGGTGTGTTTTGGACTCATACTAGGGCCTGTTCTTTGAAGAATTCATTTTAATTTGCGCTCATTTGTCAGTATTTCCATTCTGCACATCTGCCTCTGACAGACTGTATAAAGTCGTACTCAACAGTAAAAAAGAAAGTGTGGCACATCTCTCCTGCCTACATAATCTTTAGATTTTTCTTTTATAATATCTGTTAACAAAAACGATTCTTGCAATTTTCTCAAGGAAATGAGTTAGAAATTTAGTATTTTACAGACAAGGTTTCAACCAAGTTGTACACAGGAACTCATATGCAAATGCTTTAAAATCGCTTTCCATTGTGTGTGTGGACTTTTTTTCTTTTGCTTTCTTCTGTCTTCCTTCCACAATCCAAAGGAATGCGATGTGGGTGAATTGGTCTTGCCTAATTGCTCCTGTTTTTTTTTTTTTGTGTGTGTGTGTGCATGTGTGTGTGTGTGTGTGCATGTGTATGTGTGTGTGTGTGTGCGTGTGCATGTGTGTGTGTGTGTGCATGTGTGTGTGTGTGTGCGTGTGTGCACACTGTGATGGACTGATAACCTATCGAGTGTGCATTTTGCTTCATTTTTCCTGGAAGAGGGTCCAGGCTCACTCTGCATTAGATAAGTAGTTATGGGAAATGGGTGAATGCATGATCAGACCCTGGAGCCAGAGGCCCTGCAAACACATTCACAGTCATTCCAAAGAGACTTATACAGGTATGTGAACATATCAGTGCCAGAATGTTCCTCACATCCACCACACATATTAACACATTACTGCCACACATTTCCCATTTTTGATTAGTCATTAACAGGATCCATCTGGAAGAAATGGAAAAACTCTAAGAACAACAATGATCTGTACAACAACAATCACAACCCTTCACCGAGTCACAGTCATATATACAGAATGGAGATATAGTGAAATAAAATATGTAGAAATAATTTCTCTTGAGTTTTGATTGAATGCATCATTGTACACATTTTATCATATGTTGCGTTGGAAGAAATTGAAAGGTAGAAGCAAGTAGGACAGCGGCTCGGCATTCCCTGCTGATATGTGACCACAGCTGAGTGGCTGCTCTCTGTCACAGGAAAGGGTCTTTAACTCTGTTATGATGAGTTACAAATAAATAGCTGTCATCACCACCCCACTGGTTCACTCTGGAATGACGGCAAACACTAGAGTTCTGATGCTGAACTTTCAATTACCTCTGTGCATGTCATACAGGTTTGTGTTCGTCTGATTTTGTTCAGGGAGATGAGAGACATTATTCAGGTGGGGGTGGTGTTCTCACCGCGACCCAGTAGAGTCTGTGTGACCTCCTGAGTTTCCCCAGAGTTAACCCTCATGCACCAAGACTGTACACAAGTCAGAAAAATCAAGCAAATGTTTGGAAACTGATCACATTCTTTACCTCCAGAATTTAGGTAGACATACATGAGCTTTTTTGTGTATAAAAAATAAAGACTCAAAAAAAAGAGAACAGCGGTAAGTCAAGACTCACCACTTTAACCTGCTTATTTTTAAAGCCAATCCTTCCGTTATTGTAAACGATCACTTCACTGCTAAAAACACCTGGGCACCATCTGCACATACTGGAACTTTGGGACGTTCAGCATATAAGCGGTGCATTAACGCAGAGCATGGCGCGCGCCTCCTCACCGTATTGCATCTGCGATCCTGTTGCTCTCCTTCCTGCGGTCGGTGGACAGCCGGCCTATGAGGTACGAGTGATCCAGGCCGCTGCAGAAGACACTGCCGACGGCGCTGAGCAGCAGGAGCTTGCTGCTGTCAGCGGCCGCGTTACTCAGAGCCCGGCTCACCTCCTTCATGATCTGCAGAGGAACGGCACAGAGAGGGCTGGGTGACGGAGCCGCAGGTCACCCGCTGCGGCCTCTTGCCTAGGCGTGGGGGACACATTCATGTGATGTATGGCTTCAAGAGTGGACCTCCTTTGCTGAGTTACACAGGATGGGCCTCCTTCAGCCAACAAGCCTTATTTGACTTAGAGCCCGCAGAAATATTGACAAAGGTCACTTTGCTATTACTAAAACAGCGGTACCTCAATTCTCAAACTCATTAGAACTCTAATTTCTTAAAAGTCGAACCAACCAGTTCGAAAAAAAATTACCCAGAACTCCATCTGAATCTCAGAAGTCAAACCGTGAACGCCGACCTAAGATAACTTGTACACACGGGGAAATTAGTCACGCACGTCTCTCAGCGGAAATGAGCTTCAGTCTAAGCCTCGCATTCGCTGTGATAGCATCGTGCATGTTTACACTAGCTGAATACATATATTTAGACAGTAAAAATACATTTAGACAATGATAGACAGTAACAGTAATTATTATTATATAGTAAAATACATTTTAAAATAAAGATTTCTTATTAATTATTTTAATATTAATAATAAACCATTAATACATTTAATTATAATAATATTGTTGTGCCAAGCAGGGATGGAACAGAGACAAAGACGCAGACGTCAGGGTATCGGGGAATACGGAGTTTAATTACAGGTAAGGTAGGCAAAACGCAGACGGACAATACAATGACCGGACTGGGGAAACAAACTGAAACGCGGACTAAATACAGAGGACTAATGACAACAACCAGAAACAGCTGATCACACAGGGATTCCACACGAGGTTAACAAGGGGGCGTGCCACAGGGAAGGAGTGGACAATCGGGGCAGGGCACATTTTATTTATTTTTTTTAACTTTACACATTGTTTGGATACATTTATTTTCTTACTTTACAAATTACTGTTTTGATAAATGTGCTTAGATGTGTTTAGTACAGTATATGCTCTTCTTGTTTTATCCGGTTCATTTTGTGTTTAAATGCTAAAAAAGAAAACATATTTAGATGTAATTTTTTGGGGCCGGGAACCAATTAAATGGTTTTCCATTATTTCTTATGGGGGAAATTCGATCACAACTCGAACTTTTTAGGATTCGATCCGGAGTTCTGAACGTATTAAATTTGAGTTCTGAGGTACCACTGTACTGCTACTAGTCAAAAAATCCTTAACAACTGGCCTCTAATATGCGTAAAAGACCCTTGACATCTATAGACGTACAAGCTGTTCTAGACTAAAGCAAGACAGAAACACAAAGCGAGGGAATACAAACACCTTCTTTTGGAGCCGGGGGACTGTGGTGGGTGTGAATCACTATCCCATCGCTGCTTATGGGGGCGTGAATAAAATACCCTGTAACAACAACAGGCCTTCCGCAGACCCGTTGAATTGGAGCACCCAGTACTCACACCTACTGATTCTATACGTCATATATGTCATAGTCATTTTATAGAAGTGTAGATAGAAAAAAATTCACAAAGGATTAAAATAGCAAGCAAATGACAAATGAGGATGCATTACCAAATTACGTTTTAAATATGACAGGCCTTGGCGGAGCAAGTGGACAGACTCTGTGGGTGGCTCAGAAGACTTATTTTTTTTTGGGGGGGGGGTGTATTAGTGAACGTCTTTTAGTTTGATGACAACCCTACAGCTGCTGTAACTGTTAGTGCAATATGAAGCCAACAGTTTTTTTAAGGTTCAGAAGCTCTTATCGTCTTTTGCTGATAGAATTATTGCTGCAGTAAATGTTAGCTATATGAGCTGGTAATGTTTAAATTATGGGTGGCATTGTGGGTACAGAGAGGTGGGGAACAAGCCAGCAGATCGATATGGGGGGGGGGGGGGGGCATCACTCCCAACCTCTCCGTCCCACCTCAGCCACAACATTTTAATCATTTCATCGTAGCCATGCATGATCTTGGACTGCCTTTGCACATTAAGGACTAGGAGTTCCCTGCCCTCAGGCTCCGGCCTGGTGATTTACACCTTCCGGCCTGGTGATTTACACCTTCCGGCCTGGTGATTTACACCTTCCGGCCTGGTGGCTATGTGTATGTGCAGACTTTCTATGTTTTCCTTGTGTATTGCGGATTTCCTTTAGATACTTTCCATATAGGAATTTGGGGCAGAATCTCTTACTAAATTATTACACGTAGCCTATAAACTTTCAGTCTAAATTGAAATACTGATAAAGATGCGTGGACATTGAGGAGGGCCAGTCTAATGCAGATATACTGATAAAGATGCGTGGACACTGAGGAGGGCCAGACTAAAGCAGTGATTCTCAGGGAGCCCCAGACAGCCCACATTTCTACTCCCTCCCAACTCCAGGTAGGTAGAGGAGAGCAAAGCATTTGGACTGTCTGGGGCTCCCTGAGGACCGGCTGAGAATCACTGATCATCTCCAAGCATGTCGCTACTCTTTCACTAACTGATGTTTTAATTTCAGAGTTGTGTATTTTTAAAGGGGGGGTGGGTGGGTATTGGAGGTTGTATGAGAATTACAGCATCCCACTAAAACTGGTACAAAAACAGTTACTGTTAATTCATGTTCTAAACTTCAACTTCAACTTTATTTGTATAGCACATTTAAAACAACTATACATAAGAACATAAGAAATTTACAAACGAGAGGGGGCCATTCGGCCCATCAAGCTCGTTCGGGGAGAACGTAACTAATAGCTCCGAGTT